CGCAAGAAACTTTTGACAGTGAGGGCGTGAATGGATAGCATCATCGTAAGAAGAGCAAATGAAATGATGGATAAAGGTGACGTTCGACATAAGTGCTAGATGCGACATGTAAACACCATACGCGATACACGAACAAATTCGAGTAAAGAACTCCCTAGCTCAAACTTGCCACTAAATTAATCAACTGAAGCGGTCAGTCTGGATGTGACAATATCAGCCCTAGAGAACTGATAGCCAGACCTCAAGAAGGCCATCAAGAAGATGACGTTTTCCAGAGTGCCTTCAGTTAAATCCAAGGAGTAAGACGTATTTTTCAGGGGGAAAAGTGATATGTTAAACAAACCAAAAGTAGTTTAATAAGAATGTCATCCATTGATAATCAGAAGTGATCAAAGGACACGTGTATTTTATTGACTAAGAAATGCATTAATTTCCTAGAAGATAGTTGAATATATATTTATGAGTATCTGTACACTTTATTCAATCTCTCTCGTAGCACATCATGTACCAGTATAAGATTTTGGACACCGTCCGTCACAACAACAAGCTCTACATGACAAAGTAGTAATTCAACGAAAGATTCATATGACAGTGAAATTGGTCTCTCTGGGAAAGTTGAAACGTTCAAAACTTGTCCTCCCTTAAACCTTTTCAAGTTGTGCACTCACTTTAGTCCTCTGAAACACCGACACTTGAAACAACATCCAACTGTTCAAGATTCTTTCTTCATCTGACGCCAATATGATAATTAGAAACCGAATCGATGAGCTAACTAAAAATAATGAAAATGATACAATTTTGTACGAATAGAACTATATGGTTACAGATGAAGGTATTATATATGGAATTCAAATTAATTACGGAAAGAAGCACAAGGAAATCATCAATTAGTATGAATATCACATCACACCATTCTCATTTAATTCAGTTACATTGCGACCATAAACGTAAATCACCTACATTGGTAGGCTGCATGTAAATCTGAAAACAAGAACACTATTCATGTTCTATTTTTAAATGAGTGTTATCATGTTTTCCTTTCACCTCATTTTCAGACATTTGTGGACAATATCTCTGTGCAATAATAACCCATTTTACACATTTGTCTTTTTTGCTAGCTTTCGTGAGATGTAATAGTCATTTCACGTTGTTTGTTTTTTCCTTCTTTTGCGGTCAGTGTTCCCTTCGAACACTCAAGAAAGGAACTATGTCAAGATAAATTATTTAAACCTAATTTCTGAACAACTCTTGTTGGTATTCCTGTCTTTCAGTTCGTACAGCTCCCATCATGACTGTGAAACATTGTTCGGAGAGTTAACTTCCTTATATAAATATGCATGTCGTACCGACTATAGTTCGAAGAAATGTACGTGCTTCTTCCTTGAAATCTTTTCGCTGTTCTACTAAGTCCCTAACTTACACGATGCACATACTTTTTCTGATAACTCATGGATAATTTGGTTCGAGTCACTATCACAAGATTCAAGTGAATAGGTAATATGGTCCTAAATTTCCTTATACTCTAACTTGTGGAATTATTCTGAACCTTACAGACATCCAGAACTTTACCGCTAACAAGTATCATTCTGTGAAATTTTTCACACTTTGTTCTCAATGTTGAACTCATTATATTTACCTACACCTTCAGAAGCATTGTTATTATTTTCGTATATATGTATTTTGGCTCACCATAAATGTCACACATTATACTCTTTTAAGTAATCAAACGTAGCAACGGAGAAAAATGTATTGTGCATAGTTGTCCAGCTATTACGAAGGCTATTCAATAGGGTTGTTGCAACCACATTAAAGCACTGGCCGAAATCAACCATGGAAACACTTCAAGTTTATTGACTTATGACCTAAAATATTGGTTCATATTGTAGGATTTAATTTGTCCTACAGATATTCTACTAGAACTGTAAACGCGATACTGGCGACTACATAGTCCATGTAAAAGCTATAGCCAGAGCAAGGACAACTTGGCTTTAGACTTTATCTGTTTCTAAACGTAAACACAATTAGATTAGTACAGTAACTAAAGGAATTGTAGTCATTAAACGAAACTTACCAACATGCCGGCCAGTATTGCGTGTCTTATCGAAATGAACAAAAATCGCTAGTCATATCAGTATAATACGGTAATAATGTTCGTCCATTGGAAAGCCACATGCAACAGGGTTCGTCAACGGACAAATCAGACTAAAGTGTCGTGGTGGAAAACGTTTGAGTTTTATTTTTGGGGTTCACTTGTAATTTCTTCGGTTTTCCTTGTTTTTGTGATGATTTTTCGGAGCATCATACCTCAGTCAATGTGCCACTTGAGCATTTGGCTTTGCTACACCAACAGTGAGCTAAATGACTGATTTCCAATCAGGCATATGTACTTTTTCCGAGAATTTTCGTTGGGAACAATATATCTTGTGCGTTAAAAACCTGCGCACAAGCAACCATTTTTCAGTCCACTAAATACGAGAAAAAGAAAAACCGTCAACATATGGTTTGCAGTTGGTTATTACTTTCACAAGCTTCGTCCCTTGGTCGTGCTCGAACAGGTTATACATCTCCTCTTTTCCCTTACTGTTTGTCTACTGGGGCTTTATGGCGTTTTGCATTCTTTAAGACAGAACAAAAGTGATTATTCAGAATAAAACGGCGAGTTCATGTTTTAGAGTCAGTGTAGATCAAGGTTTGTGATAACTCTCTAGTTATCACCAGACTAAAGGACTAATCGGATCTCCATTGCAGCCTTCGAGACAATAACAACAGAATGTTTTTAAAGCGTTACATGACCGCTTTTAGCTTAGATGGATCTGATCATCATCCGCGTTCATATCGGAGTGCCTTGCTGCTCTTCTGTTTCTCTCTTTTCTTTCTTCAGCATCTTACTCTGAAAGCATAGCTGTGAAACTTCTGAAGTCTGGAACAAACTTGACGTACGCGTCTTCTCAAGGTCATGAGCTACAGCAAGCGCTCTACGAGTTTACTTTATGACAACTATACACTTACGAAGTTGGGAAGCATGCTGTGCGCCAACAAATGTTGTAATTTGTAGATGATGCCTGTAAAAATGGCGTGTACCTGCTCATGCAGAAATATATTATTATTATTAGGACCTACAAAGCTTGTTTGAGTCATAGATTTGAAAAGCGTGGGTCGACCGAGGTCACTGTCTGAGACGTTCACCAGTATCATAAAGGTGGAAAGTGATAATTACTCATTACCTTGAGTTCGGTAGTAACACGTCTGTGTTTTGATATCTCTCACAAGTGACTCAAAAAGAGCTTTATATACTATACAAAAGGAAGTAGTCCAGTCTGATTGTACAAACTATAAATCATTAGGTTTACGTTCAGAAAAATTGCTAAAATTTCAGTCGTGACAATACTTTTTTGAGGAATCAGCGGTGGTGCCGCATATTGGTACTGTAACAAATAGAAACTTTTGCACAAATACACTGAGGGAAGACAAGCATGTTGAAGGTGTCCAAAATGTCCTTTGACATAGTCTTCAAAATCCTGAGAAAGTTATAGAATATTTTATCAGATCATTGCTGAATAGAAGCTTTGCAAAAACCTGGTTCAGGAAATTGCCAAAACCCAAGTTAGATCTATAAATACCCGTGTTTTCTGTACATAAACTATGCTTAAAGTGCTTACTCGCGATCCGGTCATTCTCACTGGTGTCACAGTTGAAGTGTAATAAGTTATAGTAACGGACAGAAAGACATGTTAGACGTATTAGTACCAAGACTCATCGAAGTGCTGATGCCCACCAATGCTAATTGACTCATATTGTTAACCTTAATATATGAGGGTAAAAACCAAATAATAATATTTAAGTCAGACGTTAGTCACTTAAGACTCAGTTGATCCCAGACCGTCTAATAAATCGATCCTTTTTATCGAACTACCGATAATGAAATTGCACCAGTTGTATACGGATCACTAACTCTTGTCAGTGATTTATTTTGTTGTGTCCCAGCTTTTATTCAATATGTGTTTGTTTATCATTTTCGCAATAACTGTATAAATTTACAATTTACAGACAGATTATGATTGACGACTAGATGAATAATGAGCTATTCTGATTATAGCCCTGCTAAAAGTAAGTGAGGCCAACAGGGAATAATTCAAGGAATTCATCGGCAGGTAATTGCTTACAAGGCGTGTGTCTCGCTCGAAATGCTGATTTTGTGGTGTGACGTCTTTTAGATATCACAGAGCTAACACCTTGTTTTTGGGTTCCGGATATTCAAAAAAAGACGTGGGCGATGCTGTGAAGCTCTTTGCTGACTGATTTTAAACTGACAGTTGATGTCTCTTTTTCCAGTGCCCTGAAAGATTATCTAATCTTCATTCCAAAGCCCTTTACATCCAACAGCATGCTTTCAGATGGATCACCTATGCATCACGAGTTCTGTAACTACCCATCATAACGTGTATAGAACAGTGGCTGAGTGAATATACTTTAGTGACAATCATTAAGGGTCCTAAATAAATGCTCTTGTGAACTATTAACATTGTTGAACCGTCAACATTAAGAATGTATGTGTTTTCATGTGACGAACAGCACATGTAGAAACCATTGGTCTCTTTGTGCTGTGGTGAGCAGTTCGATCAGTTAATCTCCCACTGAAAGGCGTATAAATTATCAGCTCAACTAACTTTCAGTTAACTACATCTACCTAATCAATAGAATGGGTCAAATCAGTCGTTTCTATCTTATCGTGTTGCCAGTGTTACTGTACATTATAAAGTTTGATGGTTTGTAATTCCATTCACGACTGTTTGTTCTTCCAGGCCCCTCGTACGATCACAACTAGACAAAAAATTTGTATGCTTGTTATGTCTATCTAAGTATCATCTACAATTAATGGGAAAATATTTGTTTCGGAAATTTTGTTAACTGCGGATTGAGGTTTGAGCAGAAATGAGTTGTCTCATACGTGTCATCTCTTGAAGGTTCGCGTCAACCCGCGACTTACGAGTTCGTCATCAATGCTTGGTCTTGCTGTTGGTGGGTTTTCTTCGGTCTCAACTAACGGGCGTACGGGGCTTGTAACATTCTGTATTCTGCTGCTGGCATGGGTTGTTGGATTTATTATACGTCTTTTCTCAGTTATACGTTTTGAAAGTGTCATCCATGAGTTTGATCCTTGGTTTAATTACCGAGCCACCAAGCAGATGGTCGAAAATAGTTTCGAGAACTTTTACAATTGGTTTGACAGCACTGCGTGGTACCCACTTGGGAGGATTGTTGGAGGCACTGTCTATCCTGGTTTAATGGTTACTTCAGGTTTGTTCAGTATTGGGATTTACCATCGAACTTTAGGTTTTATTCACTACATGTGTCACCTTTTGAGTTTTCCGGTTCACATTCGTGAAGTTTGTGTTTTCCTCGCCCCTGTATTCAGTGGCATGACTGCTATTGCGACTTATTTTTTCACGAAGGAAATATGGAATGAAGGAGCGGGTTTGTTTGCTGCTTGCTTCATCGCCATCGGTAATCGATGTTTTACATAATTATTCCACTTTTCATTAGCTCCCGGATATATAAGTCGTTCAACCGCCGGCAGTTATGATAATGAGGGAATCGCAATTTTCGCACTAATGTTTACGTACTACTTGTGGATTAAAGCTGTCAAAACAGGAAAAGTTCTTTGGGCCGCGTTATGTGCTATTGCATATTTTTACATGGTATCTGCTTGGGGCGGTTATGTGTTCATTATAAACCTCATTCCATTGCACATTTTTGTACTACTAATCATGCAGAGATATAGCGCGAAACTGTACGTGGCTTACACAACCTTCTTCATCTTGGGTTTAATAATGTCGATGCAAATACCATTTGTTGGTTTTCAACCACTACGCACTAGTGAACATATGGCATCAATAGGAGTGTTCGCACTTCTTCAAGTAAGTACATAATTCTAAGGTGTTCTATTTTGATTGTTTAAAAATTTCAACTACACTTGTTAAACCAACCCTTGTTTCTAATGAAATATTAGATCAGCGTTGTCGTGTCTCATATCGACAAAAGAAAAGAATTCCGAGTTTACAGGCTGATTTTCCATCTATGAAAGTCTTAGTTGGTGTAGTGTAATGCATTACTTATCTTTTGAAAACATCATCTTTGGTACTTGGCACCGCAAAGAACATGCACCACATAAGTGAAAAGAATGTTAGAAAATCATATAGAGGATGGAAATCTGACAATGAAATGCATAGTTTAGTTTAAACTGCAGCCAAGACAGACTTCTTTCGATTAAGTAAGCTCTTTTCACCATTGTGAAGAGTATAAATCCACAGTAGAATTTCCATTGGATTCTGTTCTGAGCCATATTTAATAACATTCCAAGCTACAGAGTTGCATTATCTTCAGTACCCCGACTAGAGAGTTGCGGTGGATTGACATATAAAAGTTTTATGCAGCTATCTCCCATGCCATAGAGCTACATCGCAGACTGACCACTTTTCCATCTTTCTTACCCAGTCCCAATATCTGGAAATAGTGCATAGTGTAAGAACAACTGACCTGATGTCGGTAAAGCGTGATTAAATCACTAAGGCTGGTTTTTCAAGTCGGTAATGCCTATTAAATTGTCTTCACTGAGCCTAAACATAATTTTATTTGTTTATTTATTTGAACACATTGGTATAGAAGAGCACCGAATATATATGCGTCACACAAGTCACTTAATTTGTGTGTGAGTTGTGATACTGCTCGGGTGCCCAAACCGAAACAGGGGGTTTCCTTAGGGGGCCACACCCAGAGCCTTCGATCTGAAGGTCTAATTCACAATGCAGTGGAGCGACGTTAGGAGATGCAGTCACATGGTAGCCGATGACCAATAATAGGTTCATACGCCACTTGTTCCCTCAGAATTCTGGAGCCCACGTACACCATTTGCTTGGAATCAGGGTTTTGAAACTCCTCTAGGTGGACCTCCTATTCCACCAACCTGGTTAAAGCGCTGTACACTGCTCTTGCCAACTCGTTATAAACTTGGCCTGACTCACGACAGGGTCGGATATAGTTCAGATCTGCGTAAACCACCCTGGATTTCACTATATGTACATAGCTGTCATGTCACACCACACTCACACACATAAGTACTGGAATTCACGAACCTTTCGACTCACGAATCACCACAAAAGGAAAGCAGAGGTACAGACTCCTATCTTGCAGAAGTAATTGGAATTTCTAGAGTAGAAATTGCGTAGCGTAGTTGCAAACAGTAGTAGCCAAGTTGATTAAGTGTAATTTTGATAATCTTTGTGTCGTTATTCAGCAAGACGATCATTTTGTGGCTCTCTCGTAATCTGGAGAACCAGTCTGGTGGTCGGCCGGGTGGTAGGGGTGCTGGGGGAGAGGGGGGGGGGGGTGGCATGGTCGTTGGTGGGGCTGGTAGGTCGGTAGGGGTGTTTTCAGTCGGGCGGAAGTTGTTGTGTATGTTGAGGAGTGGGGCTTTTGAGATTGGAGGTGTTTTGGGTTGGGAGGTCGTGGGGGTCGTGCATGCATTCTGGCGGGTGGGTTTGGTGCCTAAATGGGTTGGTGGGGCCGTTGCGCTATCCTCGTTTATTAATGGGGAAGGGCGTGTGTTAATGATCGCGGGCATCTTTTAGATTGATTCTGGGGCCATCGCTGAACGTGCTGTCTTTATTTTCTGTATGTTATGGTAATTTGCAGTAGTACCTCGATGGGGAAACGTATTACGGTCCCACATATAGTTATTCTTCTGATTTTAATAAACTGGATTGTTGGGGGCTTTGGGGGGTTACTGTTTTGTTGCTGTTTGGGGGCCTCCGGTCTTGTGATTGTTTCTGGGGTTGGGATATCTGTTGCGGGCACAGGCGCGCATAGAAGTAGCTTACATCAAGCTTCGAAAAGTCATAAATCCGATTGTCTACTCATTGGGATTTTACAAATCCATTATTGTTTCTATTATTACCAATCTACACAGTCCTCAATTTATTCGAAATTATCATGTCAAACCTTGGTAATAATACCATTCGCCTTTGTTGAATTAATTCAGGAAACTTGGTTGAAGGTCAAGACTTTAGTTGTAGGAAATGACCAATTCTTGATACTATCAACAGTCGACTAGCTGATTCAAGAACAAGCTGGTTGGGCTTTGTAATGCTCTATTTTTACAGATCGTGCAACAAACTGACTATTATTAAGCTAACCATATTTCGTTTAGATCGTAGATATTTTCATTCCTTACCAGTTGTTTAAAAGTCGTCATATGTGAATTCGATAATCTAATTTCTTATTTCAACTCAATTGGTTTAAAGCAACAGTCAGGTTAGTCATAGCTCTTTGAAATTATCACCATCCCACTTCTCAATACTTCACAACAAGAAGAAATTAATAGGTTGGAGAATGAAAACAAAGATCTGAATGCTGTGAGGTAACTAAACATGGAGAATGTCAAATGCATCCCGGCCACATTAGTTGATAAGCACTCGGACTCATCAAGTAATGTAATATTTTAAGATAGTACTTAAGCTCAACGTCACTTGACGGTTCTACCTTTTATGATCAATGGTACCAGAGAAATCTGAAGATAATGAATGATGGTAGATATCTGTTGCATGACAAAGTTTTCCGTTTCGAGTATGGTGTATATATCATTTTACTGTGCAACGACTTAAAAGCTGCTCAAATAGTATTTAATCACCGTTCGTCAGTATGGTGTATTATTTGAGCTAAGTGTAGGGTACTCTGACAGGTTGCCAGGATCTTCTACATACACACCCTTATTGATATGGTGTTTGAAGTAGATGGAATGTTCACATCTGGGTAGTTGTGTAAAAGATTGTAATAGACAAGATCAATCTTCATGAAGCGAAAATCAGAGTGAAGCATGCGGATATAGTTTACCTTTGGTGTCGTTGTAAGATGTAGTGTTGTAGATATATAATGCCTTACTGTAAGCGGTTTCACGGTCTAATGAAACTTAACTTCAAGCTGAGTAATGGAAGCAATGAAACACTAGATAGGTCAAGCTTCCTGCATTCAGCCTTAAACTACACTTTGTGTCGAGGGTGATGGTACTGTTAGGCTACAGAAACCAGAATGGATAACGTTATAAATCTGAAAACTAGTTGTTGAAAGTAGTGCTTTAATCAATCTGCAGTGACTTCACTACTCGAACTAAAGGCTCGATAACTGTGTTCATATATTGGCTCACATTCGATGGCAAAATCGTAACAGATCCTCAGGACTAGCAACGTATGTTTGAATATAATAAGAACCACTTTAATCTCGTAGTGTTATCTTGGAAACTCAGTAATTTCTATAACTATTACTTAAACTTCAAGTGAAACGCCACATATTCATATTTTCAAGCTAGTGAACTCTTGCGCTGAAGAACGGAAGTTAAAACTTATCAGAACAAGATGAAAAAGACGTAACTTGACAGAAAAATGTAGATTTTAAGATTAAAAGAAAATGCATTTCAAAAATTATAATCTATTTGCAGGCAGAAACTGGAGCCAAAAATCTTACATAACCCAGATTAATGTCCAGCAGCTTCATAAATTTATCAGTCAGTCAGCTACAACGTAGGACTAGGCACATATATGCATCGGTCCAAGTTACCATACCTCATTAACACAACAAGATGGACACCGGATTCATAAAAGTAGTTAATTCAGAGGTGGTAATATATAAAAGAAAGATTGCAATAAGGATATAGTACACGAAGAAAGAATTAGTTCGTAGAAAGAAAGATATGAAGCAATTTTAATCTCTTAGTCTAAGGGAAGACAGAGAGTGTATACACCTACGCCATTGTGATCGATTCTGAGCCATGTCACCAAGAGTCTCCAACCATTGGTTACAACAGTCACGCGGACCCTAAGCAAGTAGTCTGCATCTACCAACATGGCTCAGACTAGAAGTTAGTGACTTCAAGCACTGATGTCACGTTTTGGTTTGGCCGCCCCTAACTTCCAACCATCCCGAACACCGGTTAGCATTGCACGTCGTGGTAATCGGTGTTCAAGCATACGTAACACGTGGCCCAACCATCTCAGTCGATGAAGATTCACAACCTCATCAACTGATTTACCACCATTCCCTAATATCCTGCGTCTAACCTCACTATTACTTATCCGGTGATCCCAGCAGACGCCAGCAATATTTCTAGGGCATCTGTGGTCAAGTACTAGTAGCTTACGAGTATTTTCTACTCTTAATGGCCATGTTTCGCAGCTGTAAATAAAAACAGAACGAACTGCCGCGCAGTATACTCGTCCTTTTATTGATAGACGGATATCTCGCCTTCGCCATAGGTGATGTAAGTTGGCAAAAGCCAAGCGAGCTTTTCGAATCCGTGCTGAGATTTCGTCAGACACCAACCAATTAGGGCTGATCGGACTTCCAAGATAAGTGATGTTGTCAACGCGTTCGATGACTTCACTCCCTATCCTTAGTTCAGATGTTGATGCAGACCAGTCCTGAAGCAACAACCTGCATTTAGAGGGAGAGAAGCGCATTCCAAACATTCTGGCATTGTTGCTCAGTGCTACCAAAAGACTCTGCATTCTATCAGCGTCTTCACCAAACAGGACTATGTCATCCGCGTATTCTAAGTCGATAAGTGGACCTCCTAGTAGGAGATCAATACCCGAGAATTCAGTAGAGAAGAATGTTATTTCCATCAATAGGTCTATGATGAAGTTAAACAAAAATGGAGAAAGTGGACAGCCTTGACGGACACCACTTGAGGTTGCAAAAGCAGATGACAGTTCGCCATAAGCTCTGACTCGATTGGTAGTGTTCGAGTAAAGAGCCTTCACAAGGTATATGTACTTCTGAGGTACGCCTTTCAATGATAGACACTGTCACAAAATCTCGCGGTCTACCGAGTCAAATGCTGCTTTCAAATTTATAAAGTTGTCTGGTTACTAATTCACTACTACTCAAGTCAGCGATGAAAATTAAAGGCAGCTTTCAGCCCAAAATAAATAACTTATCAGTCTCAGTTAATCCATGTTAAAACCACTGTATGAACTGTTTTTCTTGTCTAACGCTTTGCGCTTGATTTTCATCTACTAGGTCTCAGTTGTAAACTTCGAATGTCTACTTTGGTTCGGGCAACCAGGTAGTACTTCTATTCCTCACAGTGTGACTCAAAGACGAGTATCTTAACGTATACTTAGTGAATAATATATAATTGTTTCGTCCTGCTAACCCAGGTGCATTTGTTGATCATATGCGGTTATTTTCTGGTTTTGATCTAGATATAGATATATAAACAATGAATTTCGGCTTGAGAAACAATACAGTTTTACGTTTTCAGGTAGTTGGTATATCTGATCCCAATGTATACCAATCCTGACGTTTATCTTGTATATATAAAGTATACAGCAATGTAGAGGTATATTATTAGTTGGTTAGAAGTGACGCTACATTCTCAAGTATGGTGATGATGTGTTAAGTAATTTTAATCATCATATCTAATATTATGGTCAAAATAACTTGTCGAAATATCTTGTCTTTATTTGCAGATTGTTGCTTTTTTCAAATATCTACAAACCCGTGTTCCCTCTGATACGCTGAAGCAATTATTTACGTTTGGTGCCATTTTTTCTGCTGGAGTTATATTTGTTATTGTAGTTGGGCTAACATATGCTGGTGTTATTGCACCATGGAGTGGCAGGTAATAACAAAGAAATTATTATTTTTCTTTACTCGAACCGATGTACGTACGTACAGTTATACGTTGTTACTGACTGACTGACTTTACACACATAAGCATTGGTACAAGGAGGCACCAAACAGATATGCGCTACACAGATATGATTTGTGTGAGGGCTTGGATGCTACCTGGGTGACCAAACTAAAGTAGGCGGTTGTTTTAGAGGGCCACACCCCTAGTCTTTGACCTTAAGGTCTAGTCCACAATGCAGTGGAGCAACGTTAGGAGATACAGTTTTATGGTAGTCGGTGACCAACAATAGCTTCACAAGGCATTTGTTCCCTCAGGATCCTGGAGCCCATGTGGACCATTAGAATCAGGGTTTTCCAACTCCTCTAGGTGGTTCCTCCGTATTCATTAAACTGGTTAAAGCGCTGAACGTTCACCTTTCGTCTTATCAATTTCGTAAACAACACCCACAACGCGTAAAGGACTTCTCTGACAGTGACTGTATACGCGTGGCCATATGAAAGCATTTCGAGAGGGAGAGCTGACTCTCTCCGCTCTTGGTTGTACCAGGGAATTTAGGGGTGGCAGATAGTAACATTTGTCATCTTACAAATAAGTCTCAACGTGAAAGCAGTAAGAAGGGCATCTTTTGCACGAGCTATAAATGCATGGGATTGTGAAGGGTTTTTTGATGGAGAACTAAATTTCCACACCGTTAGGCAGGATATTTGTAGGTTTATTATATACACGCTCCTGAGCTGTAAAATACCCAACATGACTTTATGAAATTTCGTAACTCGGTGTTTCCATAGTCATAAATTGTAGTGAAATATTGTTATATAAACTTTTGGTTTTTCAGTATTTATTCAACTGCTGTTAATTTTAAACAGAAAATCTCAAAAAAAAATTATCGTCGATTTTAATTCTTATTTAAATTATTCAGGTTTTATTCTCTATGGGATACTGGTTATGCTAAGATACATATTCCAATTATAACATCCGTTTCTGAGCATCAACCAACTTCATGGGCATCTTTCTTTTTTGATCTTCATGTATTAGTTGCTACATTTCCAGCTGGTGTTAGACTTTGCTTTAACAATTTAAATGATGAACGTGTTTTTGTTATTCTCTATGCAATATTTGCATCATATTTTGCTGGTGTTATGGTTCGTCTTATGCTTACATTAACACCAATTGTATGTGTGTTTTCTGCTATTGCATTTTCACGTGTCTTTGAATTATTCTTAAATGAACAAGATAATGAAATTAATGTTGCGACAAATCAATCTAATAATGAACAGAATTCTGTTGATAAACGTTTGTATGATAAACCGAACAAGGCAAATAAAAAGGTAATTTAAGGAATCAATAAAAATATTTTCAGTGTAATAATATACATATCTTTATTGACTTCCATTTATTTAAACAATTTTATTTGTTTATTTATTGAAACACACAAACATTGGTACAGGGAGGTACCAAACAGATATGCGCCACATAAATTACTCGATTTGTGTGAGGGCTTGGATACTGTCTGGGCGCCCAAACCGAAACAGGTGGTTTCCTTAGGGAGCCACACCTAGAGCCTTCGATCTGGAGGTCTAATCCACAATGCAGTGGAGCGGCGTTAGGAGAAGTAGTCACATGGTAGCCGGTAACCAATAATATGTTCATACGTAATTTGTTTCCTTAGGATCCCGGAGCCCATATTCACCATTGGTTTGGAATGAGGGTTTTCTAACTCCCCAGGTGGATCCTTCATGTTCACCAATCCGGTTAAAGCGCCGGACATTGGCTTTTCATCCTGTCAATTTCGTAAACAATACCCGCGCCATGAGAATACAGTGAGTAGGACTTCCCTGTCAGTGGTCGTATGCATGTGGCCATGTGAGAGCATTTGGAGAGGGAGAGCTGAATTTTCCCACTCTCGGTCGTACTAGGGCGTTCGGGGGCTATTTAATTGTCCTTTTTCTGTTTTATCTAGACTGGTTCATTGAATATGCTCATTTTTTAAATATATGGGCATGTTCAATAAACCAGTCTAGATAAAACAGAAAAAGGACAATCAACATTATTGGGAATAAAGTAAATAATCATCGAGTCTTATATTCAAAGAAGTCTTCCTAACCATTAATATTGTTTTGGCGTTTATACGGGCAATGTCCACCAGTAATCTTACAGTGTTTGATACTAAGACTTCTTGTTGTCAGTAAGATGGTATACATAAAACAGTTAAACCTTCAAAATTGATACTTAAACCAGAAATCCCTAGACCAAGTTTTCTTTATTATTCATTTACTTAAACACATAAATATTGGTACAAAGGGGCATCGAATACATGTGCGCCACACAAGGCACTTGATTTGTGTGTGAGCTGTGATACTGCCCGGGTGCCCAAACTTAAGCAGGTTAGAAAGTGAATGCATCTGCTCCTCTATCATTTCACTAGGGGTCTTTACGATTCTTAACCAGAAAGCTTACACTTTCGCACAGGGCTTAGGTGATAATTGTTGACATCATTTGCGAATGCTGTCTAATTTTTCTAACTGTTCCTCAGACCACTTTTACGTTAACCAGCACATCATGATAGGCGGTGAACAGACATATCTAATACATGCCCCCAAACGCCCTGGTATGGCCGAGAGTGGGGAGAGTCCGCTCTCCCTCTCGAAATGCTCTCACATGGTCACGCGTATATAGCTTCTACCAGGGAAGTCTTACTCACTTCCTTCTCGTGGCAGGAGTGTTGTTTACAAAAATGACAGGTCGAAAAGCGAATGTCCGGCGCTTTAACCGGATTCCAAACCAATGGTGCACATGTGCTCCAGTATCCTGCGGGAACAAATGGCGTATGAACCAATTGTTGGTCACCGGCTTCCATGGGGTTGCATCTCCTTACGATGGTTCACTGCCTTGTGGATCAGACCTTTAGGTCGAAGGCTCGGGGTGTGGCTCCCTAAGAAAACCATCTGCTTCGGTTTGGGCACCCGAGCAGTATCACAACTTTCACACATATCGAATGAGATTTGTGTGGCGCATATGTGTTTGGTGCCTCCTTTTACAAATATCTATGTGTTAAAATAAATAAACCACGAGTGTTACAAATCTCATGCTGTATTTGAGAACATTAATTGTTGGCTCATGTACTACCTGTTACTAATATTTTATCGGTACTGTACTCATCCTCAGTATCAAGTTATTTCTAAGAAAAACTATTCTAATTCTGCATGAAGTATTTTTCTGATGGACATAATAAGTACTAATTTTCTTGTTATGAATAATGCACGTTTAGTGTTTTAAGAAAAGTATACCACATCTCGGTGTATGTACCCTTTCATATTATTAGGTGAACTATCCTAGTCAAGACACGCCAACAAGTACCACCATTGGTAGTCAGTCAAAGGAACAATCATCAGGAAACAATGGGAGTAATATGCGTGCAGTCGCCTACGTTTTGATTATATTCATTCTATATCTGTTTGTTTCACATTGTGTTTGGGTGTCATCTAATGCTTATTCAAGCCCGTCTATTGTGTTGGCTTCATATGGTAAAGATGGATCTCGATATATCCTGGATGATTTCCGGTAAGCAATGTCACCAACATCTTTTATATGTATAGCTCTGTTATTTAGTCCACTTATTTTACCAGAGTTAATTATGCAAGTAAGCTTATCTGTTAATAATAAAATACTTTGTTTTCATATGTCGTTTAACCTTACGATCTGATGTAAAAGAATATAGTGAATTTCTAAACCCACCACATATTTCACTGATGAATGTAACGAAGCTTTTTGTATCCGTTTGAAAACTTCATTATTAGACACCAAGTTGAGGTTCATTATTTTAAAAGTGCAAGGGACAGTCAACTAGCACTACTGGGATCAAATGGATGCAACAGAAAATATTACAACTCATTTCACAAAGTGCCTAAAAGCAGTCACTACGATCACGCCGAAATTTCAAAAATAAAATTTTTTCAATAGCTTATACTACCTAAAAAGTATCCAGTAAATATTTTGTCGACATTCATTTCTTATCCAAGCTAACATACACAAAGACGAGCTACATATCATCATACAGTAGTGCATTGTATTGTCTTCTTTTGGAATAATTGTTGGTTATTTCTACCGAGATACATTTTAATATGGTTAGAATTTCAACTGATCGATGTCGCTCACATAAAAACAATAGAATATGTCTGGATTTTTGATGTCTTTCAATAGAAACACTAATGGTTTAATAAATGGTTGAGCGATCGTGAACTACAATCCATTAACAGATAAACCTATACATACTGGCTTCTATTATTTTTTTTGTTTTTCCATGGGTAGCTCCTAGTTTCAAGTAAAAAGCATTTCAATCATTATAATTCATTTGTATCAATTTTATCGTTATTATTATTTAAACACGTAAACATTGGTTCAAGGAGGCACCAAATAGATATGCGCCACACAAATCATTTGGTTTGTGTGAGGGCGCCGAAACTGAAGCAGGTGGTTTTCTCAGGAGGCCACACCCCGAGCTTTTGACCTAGAGGGTCTAATCCACAAGGCAGTGGAGCAACGTTAGGAGATGCAGTTCCATGGTAGCTGGTGACTGACAATAGGTTCATACACCATTTGTTCTTTCAGGATCCTGCAGTCCATGTGCACCATTGGTTTGGAATCAGGGTTTTCCAACTCTCTGTGTCCACGAACCTAGTTAAAGCGCTGAACATCCTCTTAATTTTGCACACACACCACAAGAATGCAGTGAGTAGGACTTCCCTGTCAGTGGTTATGTACAAGTGGCCACTTGAGAGTATTTGTAAATGGAGAGCTGACTCTTCCCACACTCGGCCGTACCAGGGCATTTAGGGTCGAATTTTATCGTTGAATTATAGGATATAAATTAAAGTTGTTCAGGTCATGTTGTTGATAACAGGTCTTCATTACAGCTTCACAATGAAATATAACTTTTTTAAATAATCCATTATTCAACAATAAAACTTCACGAAACAACATTTAATGATAAATCTTATAACACTGTAGTACGCTTGAATCGTTTGTTTAATCACACCCTAAATGAATAACACCTTTCTACACCCAGTGATTTTAACATAATTTTAAAGTGTTATATTATTCTAAAAGGTATACTTAACTTTAAGGCTAATCAAAATTTGGCACATAGGTGGGTCCATTTTTAAAACTTGATTGAAACTTTTGGTAATTTTCTATTCATGAATTCATCTATTACATTTTATAACTACCAAAATAGTAAAGTAAAAAAAAGGGAACTAATTAGTTACGTATAAGTTGTATTCACAGTGTATTCACAATCACTTAATGATACTTAATACTGCTTGGTTGTGTAAACAATATTTAGAGCTTACCATTCACTCATCGATGTTCAAGTACCGAACAATCCCACAGATATGTTTTTTTTAATCGTCAACAATAATAAATTTTTTTTCTTATATTATTAGTGAGGCTTATTTCTGGTTATGGCAAAATACAAAAGAAAATGCTCGAGTTATGTCATGGTGGGATTATGGATATCAAATAGCAGGAATGGGTAACCGCACTACTCTAGTTGATAATAACACATGGAATAATAGTCATATCGCATTAGTTGGTAAAGCTATGGCATCAAATGAATCAGAAGCCTATAAAGTAAGTTGAGTAAACTCAATTTTTTCTTTCTATTTGGTGGACGTATTCAACATGATCACATTTTGGGTGAAAGAATTATACAAAAATATACTGTTAAATGTAAATAATAAATTTGTGTTGTTGACAATTAATCAGTTGTTTTTTTGTCTCGTTTTAATAGGCCATTAAAAACTTAGTACAGGTCAACTACCTTATCGTCTAGTGTAAAATTTCATAACACTACTGTACTTCGAATTCCTTCTATCGAATCCAGAAATTATAAATACTGTGATAAACATCACATTCAGTAGTCTTTTATCTTCTATTTTCAATCAATAATTCTCGGTGAAATATCTTTTTCATTATTTATCGATAGATATTACAGTCTTATCATCATATTAGTTAATCGTTTAAGAGAGATTTCCTATTCAAAATTTACAAATGCTCTTGACCGGTGCATAATAAGTTAGTTATCTAAAGATCTAGAAATATTTAAGATCTGTTTTTGCTAAATATATCATAATTTAAATGTCTATGACTAAGACGATTGTTGTTTTTCATTTTCATAGTTCTTCAAAAACTGTACGAGTCCATAATTTCAAGAAGCACTTTGTCCATATTAATCAAATCTTTAGTCATGAATTCACATGCTGTGCTGGTTTTATTATGTGTGATTAATACCGTTTTTCTTTTACTTCTTTCCCTGTTACGTGGTTTTCCTTTAGACTATTCAAAGTTTAGATGTGGATTACGTACTGGTCATATTCGGTGGTTACATTGGTTACAGTGGTGATGATATTAATAAATTCTTATGGATGGTGCGTATTGGTGGCGGTGAACATCCTAATGAAATTCGTGAAAGAGACTTTCTAACTTCAACAGTAAGTTGTTAGCTTTTACATACAGTAAAGATAATCATAATATACGCCTCTCTACGTTATTATATATTGTGAAGAATCGTCATATATAGCAAGCTAGTTGTAAAGTGGAAGCCATATGTGATATTGGTGCTTCTCCTTTAAAGTGAATACTTCAGGTTGACTGATTGGCTGGTTGGCATAAGTAAATCGGTTTGATATACCAAAACATTTTTTAAACATTTGAAAATCCATGAGGACCTTGATTAGTCTGCACCAGATAATAAGTCTATTTGTCTCTCCTTCAAGTTATGCAAATGGTTGAAACATGGATCTATGCTTCTCTCCCAACAATAGTTGATTAGGTATAAACTTATTCTACTTTACTTACTCTTCTTGTAGCGTAATCCGTCGAGCAGTCATCTCCAAACAACTCTATCTTGAGCTCTCCTTTCTAGTTGTTGCCGAATGCTATTCATTGTCTTAATATCTGCCTCCATTTCCTAAAGTCGTGTTTTCTTTGTCCCAGCTCTCTTTCTTTTGCTTCGAAGTTGTATCTTCTCATGCTTGTGACTGCTTGAATGACCCTCTCGGTCTTCCACACTGTTGGGATATTCTATTTCTCTGCATTTATTGTTGCTCTGACAGTCAGAAGGGTCGTCGGCCTGGTGACTTCTGGCTTCAAATATAAGCCGTTATAACTGTTCCATATGCAGACCCTTTGTCTCTCAGGGAAAAGTTTAATTGCTTCACTCTGGCTGGTGTTTCTGTTAGGGAGGTTCTTGTTTATGAGCTGGAATTGCTAACGCTACCCACAGTCGTTCTTTACCCAGGTTAGGGAATATCAGTAACTCCAGAGGGGCGGTTGCCAGTGTTATAAACGTTTATATAATATATTCTGAACCACTTACTGGTTATAAATTCAATGATGAGATAGTGCAATTATTCATAACTTATTACGTCACCTTATCTGAAAGATGTTACCACAGTAATTCTAACTTTGACAATACTACCCTCTGGGAAAAGTTGAATGTATTTCCGTCGGGCTTGTAGTGATGGTTTTATTGTTTTGCCGTATCATAGGACTCTTTCAGTAAAACCCATTGACCCATATTTACTAAGAAAGTTCTAAATTTTAACCCTGCCTGTTTGATGATAATTCAATGGTTATGTTGGTTTTTTGTTTTCTCTTTCTTTTTAGGGTGATTATCGTATAGATAAAAGTGCTTCTGAGACGATGCTTAATTGTTTAATGTATAAATTAAGCTATTATCGGTTTGGTGAAGTTCGTTTAGATATGCGAACACCACTTGGATTTGATCGTACTAGAGGATCTGAAATTGGTCGTAAAACTTTTGAATTAGATTACTTAGAGGAAGCTTTTACATCGAAACATTGGCTTGTAAGAATTTATCGTGTACTACCTCCTGAAAATCTACCACATCTATCGCGTACACGTCGTCGGATTCACCATCGAGCTTCAGGGAAATCTCGTCTGAATAACCGTGGCCGACTCAATACACCTAGTAAAGGTTCATCCAAACATTTCACTTAACATATTTCCTGGTATGTTTTATTATTTACATTTATTAAGTATCGTGAATTTGACGATTCTCTAGTTAAATGGCTATCGATTATTAGGGAACTGAAGTGATTATTTTTAAAATCACAATCTCGATTGAGGCTAAATCATTTATTGTATTCAGTTACTGTCATTTGACTAGTTAACATCTTTTAATGCAACATAGTTTACTGATTAAGTTTCCAATGTAAAGCTTTATAGTGAAACGTATAGAATGAATCCCAATAATAGATATATTGCTCTTTCCAATAAATACACAAACTGAGCTACCAATCATTATGCACTTAAGCATTAACTACCTTAAAATTAGTCAGATATAAGTGTCCTGGTGTTTTTTCCACTCATTAATGAAGAAAGTTTAAATATCTTTACTTTGTCTAATTAATGCACAAACTGAGATCATGAAAATTATATGTTACGAAATTTAGAACATCATTAGTTGAGATCATGAGTCGATTGAAGCTAGACACTTATGGAAAACCTGAAAGCACTGGACGGCCTGTTCGTCATAGTATGGAGCTCCTCAGCAGTATGCATCCACGATCTCGCCTCGCGAGACTCAAACCCAGGACTTATTAGTTTCGCGCGCGAGCGCTTAACCTCTAAACCATTGAACTTGCCGGCATCGAATGTTGTTAATGTCAAATTTCAACTAATCGACGAAATTGATCGACAGATCTACCATTTTCTTCAGTGAGTTACTATCTCACAACGGACCCGGTTGAACTCCACTGGCGGTGGGAGCGTAGATGCGCACTGCTGAGGAGTTTCACAATAGGTTTTCCGTGGTGGTCCAGGTTCAATTGACTCATAATCTCAGCTATTGAAATTACTATAATATGCACAAAAACCCCTTCTGATATTAAATTTCGAATAAGTGAATCAACACACTAGATCATTTTACTCATGATACATTACGTTTTACAATTTAGTTTTGTTCAGCGAAATACAAAATGACTACATGGTAAAATAATGAAATGTATTAACTCAAATAGAGAAATTATTATGAAGAGAATAAAAATCTTAAACTTTGTAAAAAACTTTTATGATATCAGTTAACAGCCCATAACCACACTTAATTAGTAAAAAACGAATAGATGTAGTGTTATATACTTGGGTTTGAGCTATAGTGTTTCCATGAAGGTCAGTGATATACTACTCAACTACTGAGACGGTAGTAGTTGAATCAAGGTTATAAATTGGAACATTATTGGTTCAGAATCAAATTAATCAACGGTTATACTAAGCATTCAATAAATTCTTACTATTAAGAACATATCCTTTTTATAAAATCGCAGTATGCATGAAACTCACGTAAACTATAGAAGTGGTTACTTCAATATGCTACTCATATTACATAATAGTTTCATCTCATAACTATACCATCAGCTCTCATTCATATTTAAATAAGATCACTATCGAATATGAGAAAAAGTACGAAAACAATGACCTAACTTATAAACTAAGCTCAGTAGAAACAACAAAGTGAAACGATTGTCCACATAACCTGTATACACTTGCATATACTATACTATATACTACATAAAATTAACTTTTAATTGTTCAATCGATTTCTTGTTCTCTTACAGGTTATACTACATCTAATTAATTTTGTTCAATATTCATTCTCTATATTTTGTTTTCATTTGTGTATAAAAACCATGTTTGTTTTGGATAAGAATTTACAGAGAAACTATCGAGTGGTATATCATTATGCATGTATCGTGTAAAAAAGGGTCAAAAATGACCTGTGTTTAATACCGATGCATAAACTGTGATCTTGTTTGATTTTGTTTGATCGAATTCTTCTTCCAGTCTGTTCCTTTGTGGTTTTTTCTTGGTTCTCTTGTTTCCTGTTAATCTATTGTATTTTGATGTAACTATTAGCTTCGTCGAATTCTTCGATATCGCTTTCAAATAAATTTGTTTTGATATCACAGGATTGTGTGTTTGTGGGGGTGTGTGTTTTGTAAGTATCGATACCAGGGTTTGACTTGATGATTTCAAATAAATTGTGTATTAGGTGGATTGCTTATAATAATAATCTATTTCAATAGTTGAGATCATGAGTCAATCGCGGCTAGATCACCATGGAAAACCTGGACGGCCGTTTCATCCACGATCCCGCCGCATTGTGACATTCGAACCCAGGACCTATCAGTCTCTCGCGCGAACACTTAACCTGTAGACCACTGAGCCGACCGGCATCCGATGGTTTTAATGTTTAACTTCAACCAATCCATCATTGTCTTCAGTGAGTTAATATCTCACAACAAACCCGGTTGTACTCCACTGGTCACTGCTTCTCATTAGAACTCCAGGAAATATGTCTTGAAGTCAGTCACTAGTGAGCATATGTTGATTAATATCAGAAGGAGTTTTTGTGGATATTATAGTAATTTTAATAATTGAGATCACGTGTCACTGGAATCTATTTGTAGTGTCCTACTGAGTATAAAATTGAATTTTCGACGTGTTAATGCTAATCGTTTCATTAGTGAGCAAGTGAATAAATAACCTAGTTAAGTTCATATAATACAGAGGAAGAAGCGAAAATATTTATTATTACAATTAAAACGATTCGGATCATGCTAATGTCATGTTATTCAAATTAAAGGTGAGACAATGTATGTGTGTGGATGTGAAAAAAATCGGCGTTTTTTTTTAATGATTTTGTCTAACCGAACGACGTATTTTCACACTACATGGCTGTTTATGCCTTTTATAGACACAAAGTAATAGGTGGAGTTTGTTTCGTTCAACGTATTGTCGATTATGTAATATGGGCAATATTAATTTACATTAACCGTCAAGTAATGAGTTTTTAAACTAGAAACACGAATAACATGTTTAGGATTCGATATGACTAAAAACCGAATGGTAGTCTACATTCAACTGACGAGTCTCAGGAAGGACGAAGCGCGCGACGTGGATTCCACTGCTACTTCTATCATCCAACCTCACATAAGAAATGTTTGGGACTGATAGCATTATCTAGGCGAACCGTTCATGTATCACATAACAAAACAGATTGATAAGTTGCAATCCTTAACGTCAACAACATAAAAATCCAAAGCCTTGCTACTGAATTATAAACGGAAATTATTTTCAAACATAAAATGAACTCAATTGCGAAACGCTCTATTCTCTTTCATAGTACCATGGGATGTGTTAAATTTCTTCATTTGAAACAAGTAGGTCGATCCATCTATATCGGACTGATTACTTATGTTAACTTAGACTTCACACGGAATAATCGGGATCGCTTTATCTCTAACAGGAGACATCAGAAATATTGTATAATAAGCTTGATAGTCGATAATCTAATATTGCATCCGAGAAATTTCCATTACATCGTATTTTCTATTATAGTCAATTCGAGGTCGATAGTGTTTGAGTTTTGAACAAGTAAATGATCTGATAATGTCAACGAAAAACCATTAAACAACTGAGGCGAGAATTTATTTAAACGGCTGTATATATTTACAGAATCAATGGATGATATACGTATAGTTGTTTTACACCGAGCGAAGTTATTGTTGTTTCATCTCTGAGGTGAGTGGTTTTATTGGCCTACTTATTTGCTATTACAGAGTACTATTGCGGTTATGCTACATACTACTTATATTTGCAAACATATGTAGCATACTTCACACTATCACTTTAAACTTAGCGTGTTCGTTGTGTGAACTCATCATCGTATTTAAATTAAAATTATTGTTATTATTGAACATTAAGTTCTGATACATTTGTTGGATTTGTGACTCAGTGATATGGTCAATCAACTCGAAATTATTTAGCAACGAGATTTTTTAATTGATTGATAATATGAAGGGTAAGCAATTAGTCTCCTTGCATTATCACACAATAAATCTGTCTTAATTTCGTTAACAGATATGTACATGGTTTCAAAATATCTTGGCCATTAATTTTAAATGTACGGAGTATTTGTCATTAGTCGACCTTATTCTATCCTAATATGTTAGGTATTTCTTTTATTTGTGATACTATGCTTTCGAACTCGAACAAAACTCTCAATTTAAATTTGTTATTCTGATTCCGAAAAACAGTGATTTAAAGTAAATGGACTTGTATAAATATGTTACAAACTGAAACGAACATTGTTAAACTGAATAAAAATAATATATATAATTTATTCGAAATTATCAAATCAAACCTTGGTAATGACACCTACAAATTGTTAAACTGAGTTAATTTACTCAATATTATTCCAAATCTTATACTACTTGGTTGACAAGTTTTTTATAAGTGAATCAGTTTTGAAGATAATGTACTAAGTAATATCAAAGGCTTCTTGTGGAGAGAATATAATTTATGGACGAGCTAATCAGAGGCGTTTGAGGGGTTTCAAGTACATGGCGCCAATTTCAATACCTGATGCTCACGAATGATCGGTTCATATCGGATTTTACAGAAAACGTGATAAGCGGGTATAACAAATGGGAGTATTAGGAAGTTCCTTTATTTGTGATTGTGGTAACCAAATATCTTGGAGGAAGAAGTCTGCTAGAATAGAAAAAATTTTCCCCCTTGGTCCAGATTGAGACTAAAGCAAGTTATAATAATTGTTACGAACCGTATAACAAAAGCACCAGTAACATTGGCTGCAACATTTGCAGGTTCTACGGAAGCTTCGGCTGTTAAGTGGTATGAGTATTGTAGAGATATATGCGTAATAAAAATAACAAGTTTACACAACTGGAGTGCACACAAACAATATTGAAGCTATGTGGTGGAGGCTGAAAGAAATTTCGCAACATTATCATGGCTCTGGAGGCCACCTAGTATGTAGCCATATAGATGATTTCCTCTACCGTATGCATTACAATTTTAGAACCTCTTTCTAACCTTGACAAGTTTTTCAACCATGTAGAAGAAATGCATCCACTATAATTATCTTTACTCTACACTGACTGTTTTTTGATTGGCTAATATATCTCAAGATTCGTTCATAGGTCGTCCATAAATTATAGTCTCACCATAACTATAGAGAACCGGAATGGATTTCATTGATAGTCCACCTTATATTGGGACTGTTAATAGTGTATTTTCATCATCATATAAGATTTTGAAGATAGGAATAACAAGCGCGATACCATTCAATGAATGAATCTGTCTAGTATGAAAATAACGATGTTGTGAACAGCTGTCACTGAAATTCACTTTATCTGAAGTCATAAAATTTATGGAGACCAGTTAATCGTTATTGCTACGGCGTGGTGGAAGGACCCAGACATTCAAAGAATTTGATCTGGAGATGACATAGCTTCTTTACTTTAACTATGGTTTTACTATTCAATTTTTTTCATATCCTACCCTCACCTCTTCTTCATTATTTCACTTGAACCCGTAATCGACTTGACCACAATTTAGTTCAACATATTACCTGATAATATTGCAAATTATTTTTTCAGAAATCTTGTTATTTTCAAACCGTTCATTATATTCTTCATGAATATTTAAGAACATAGAAACCAAATTTACGGTTTTTAATTGAAGGTAATTGTAATCAATGATCCATAGGAACGTGCACCATAAGTTTTACATCTGAGAAATAATTCATATAAGTAAGTAATGAAACTTTATTACGTTTCCTATATACAATGTTATGTATGTCAATTTAAGGACACTGGAATAAGCTTTCTTTTTCAAAGTGATGCGATCACCGAGGTCAATCTTTAATAATCGATAATGTATGTCTCATAGAATTTAATAATTTCCCATAGAGAAAAGTGAATTAAATTAGTACGCTCAAATACTGAACCTTAATACTCTTGAGAAACAGGTTAATTCTCTTTTTGAAAAATGAAATTATTGATTATATGCATCAACAAATTAGTGCTTATCATTAGAATTTATCAGTTTTATGCCCAGCAACACTGAAATAATCCAGCATCAGCAGAGTTATCTAGTCATTAATATATTATGTTATCTAATGTAGTAGGTGTATACACTCTCTGTCTTCCCTTTGACTAAGAGATTAAAATCGCTTCATATCTTTCTTTCTACGAACTAATTCTTTCTTCCTGTACTATATCCTTATTGCAATCTTTCTTTTATATATTACCACCTCTGAATTAACTACTTTTATGAATCCGGTGTCCATCTTGTTGTGTTAATGAGGTATGGCAACTTGGACCGATGCATATATATGCCTGGCCCTACGTTGTAGCTGACTGACTGACTAATGTAGTAATCAAATATGAACACCTAATGTGCTGCGATTAAATAAATTCACTGTTTCGAGTTGCGTAGAAATGTGGGTTCTTTAATTAATGAATAGAAGCGAATAACTTCAGAATTCATAGTGGTATGATTCTATTACTTCACAACTTCAAAAGGTACTACCTGACCTTGGTGGTTTAGAGAGGTGAATTTTACGTAATACTATCACGTTTCTTTACATTCATATTAATACTACTACTACTGGATTTGAGTGTAAAATTTTCCCAAGTTTCACTGCACATTGGTTTAGTGACATTGAATTTCGGATAAATTTTTAAAAAGTGTGGATTATGTTACCTTTTGAAAGATTATACCATGAACTTAGATATAACTAATATTTACATAACGTTTATGACGCCATGTGAAAACTGTTGACATTAGAAAGTAGTAGCACTAGATAAATGTTTAATTGCATTCGATGAATATTGAATTTCATCCAATCAGTAGAATCGAATGCGCATTCAGGTTTCCTGGTAGTCTTAAGTTACAGGATTCGGTTGTTGGACAATTTAAATTACCAAGTACATAATGTTGTTAAAACGACTCCCTGTTGCTCTATTGACAGTACTAAATTCTATGTGAAGGGCTGACAACGTAGCAACAGCAAAAATAAGAAAAACTGTCCAAAATTTAAAACATGACTAAACCAGTTGTTTGCATACAAGTGATGTTATAATGTTTAAATTTCACTGATTTCAAGGCGAATAAACAATAAATTTCATTCTGAGAAAATAAACAGCTGGATTTTATCTCCGCTTTCATATTTGATTACGAGATATTTTACAAGGTGTAATCCAGCGACAAATAAGGTTATCGGAAGGAATGGTGATGTATTCACAAAAGGACAGTGTGGTATGAAATTAATGAGCAACAGTTGACAATGTTGACTTCACTCAGATATATATTCTTAAAGACTTCTTTTAAAGGCTTTCTTCTTAGCATAATCAAACTAGCCAGCTCATTAACTTTAAAAACATATTATTCTATTTATTTGAACACATAAATATTGGTACAAGAGGGCACCGAATATATATGCGCCACACAAAACAATCGGAATTTGAAGAGAGGAAAAAAGGTGAGGAGCGTAAAAAATTAACGAACAGAACACGGTAAGGTAGCGTAATAATAATAATAATGGGGGAAACGAAAAGGTACAATCAGAAGAAATTTTTCAGGTAAGGCAGACAGAACCACTTTTTATGAAGAAAGTAAAAGAAGGTTACAACAGGATCGCCACTGGCTTCTATTCTGAGCCATATCTGATAACGTCTCTAGCCACTGTGTAGCACCATCTCTCAGACCCCAACCAGGGAGTCGTAAAGGACCAACACAAGCCAGTACTTTGCAGCTTTCTTTCATGCCACGACACCATGTCATGCACTGACCACCTCTCCACCTCGCTTTTTCCAACCAGTCCCAGAGTCGGCAAACAATGCACGACGTGGAATTCTCTGAGACGACATTCGGAGAACATGTCCTAGCTACCAAAGTCGGTGTTTTAAGATCGTGACATCGATTGCATTATCATCTCTGTGCCCAAACACACGATGCCGAACCTCTGCATTACTGACATGGTGTTGCCACTGAATGTCAGCAATCCTTCGGAGACAGCGATGATCGAACACAGAGAGTCGTCTAACGTCCTCAACTCGGAGAGACCAGGTTTCACAAGCATAGAGCAAAACTGCTCTCACCGACGCGTTGTAGATCCGACCTTTTACAGCCAGACTAACATCACGAAGGCGCCAAAGGTGGCCCAGATTGGCATGAGCCGCTTTGGCTTTCACTATACGTGCATTGATCTCATCACTCACATCCCCACCAGCACTTATGCAGCTACCCAGATACACGAACTTCTCGACTACGTCTATCTGCTCACCATCCAGGGTGAATACAGGATTGGAATCCCGCCAGTCTTGTAGAAGTACTTTGCACTTCGAAGGTGCAAAGCACATACCATACCTACGGACACTGATTGCCAACTGATTAAGTGCGGATTGCATGCCTTGGGCATTATCGCACAGTAAGACAATATCGTCCGCATACTCAAGGTCGAGAAGTCTTTCTCCAGGCAACAGATCCACACCACCATTACTTACATTCATCAGAGATGTTTCTAGAATGTCATCGATGGCAAAGTTGAAGAGGAATGGTGAGATTGGGCAACCCTGCCTAACCCCACTGCTCGAATGGAACAATGGAGAGAGGTGGTTGTATGACTTCACTCTACCTGAGGTGTTTGTATATAGGGCTTTTAGGATGTTAATAAACTTCTCAGGCACACCCTTCTTCAATAGACAATCCCAGAGAACAGTCCTATCCAACGAATCGAAGGCAGCCCTGATGTCAAGAAACACTACGATTGTTGGCCTTTGATAAGTATGGCGATGTTCTAACATTTGGCGGAGGGTGAAGATATGATCAATACATCCTCGACCAGAACGAAACCCAGCCTGCTCCTCGCGAGTCAATCTTTCTCGGGTTTTGAACAACCTACAAAGTATGACGGAAGCCAATAGCTTGGACGCAATCGGAAGTAGACTTATCCCCCGATAGTTGTTCCAGGAACGACGTGAACCCTTTTTAAAGATAGGGACAACTATCGACTCATTCCATGACGTTGGCACACTCTCTAGTTCCCAAACCTTTGTAAACAACGTCGTCAATTCCTTAGTCAAAAAGTCACCACCATCTTTAAAAAGAGCCGGAGGTAAGTCATCTGGGCCAAGTGATTTGTAGCGCTTCAAGAGTTGGAGTTCCTTGCGGACCTCCTCCTCGTTTGGTGGATCAGTCGTCACCGGCCATGGAGGGCAGGACTGTCTGACCGATGTTGCCGGAGCAGCAGGCCAGTTGAACTGCCCTTCGAAAAATTCTGCCCACCGTTCAAGACGTCGATGGATGTTAGTGATTGGCATCCCATCATCCTCGCAGATTGTTTCACTCACACCAGACTTCTTGCTACCAGTGGCTCGGATGAGCTTCCGGTAGTTACCAGATGCAGCTGCTGCTTCCAGCTCATTAGCACGCTTCGACCATCAGGCTTCTCGGTCCTTACGCAAGCTTTGCCCAATTTCCCTACGTAACATCCTTCGTTTACGGTCGATTGAATATGATAAAGGAAACACAATTTTCCTGTTAGTTACTCGACTGGATACTGGTTCTTTCAGACAATGATATTACATTAGGTTGGGAAGTATTTTAGTTGTATGTTTATGCAAATGATTGCACTGAAATTGCATATTGAACATGTAACCTTTAATAAGATGAATCAAAACTCGTTGGACTGATATTTCGAACTTCCGATTTATTTATCTGAAGATATACATACGTATCTGGGGCACCAGATACATATGCGCCACTGATACGGAGGGTACACGCCTACAGAAGATGGAAAACCCTGATTCCAAACCAATGGTGCACATGGACTGCAGGATCCTGAAAGAACAAATGGTGTATGAACCTATTATTGATCACCGGCTACCATGGAACTGAATCTTCTGACGTTGCTCGATTGCCTTGTGAATCAGACCTTTAGGTCGAAGGCTCCGGGTGTGACTCCAGAAGAAAACTATCTTCTTCGGTCTGGCCAACCACATAGTATCTGGTCTATTCCAGATATTACCCGCGTGCCCAGGTACGTACGTACGAAGTTATACGTTGTTGATGACTGACGTGGGTAGTATCAAAGCTCACAAACAAATAAAATGAAAATCGCACCTTTTATGTAATATATTATGCCCATCTTGATATTATTCGACGTATTACAAACAAATGAATATTGTATTAGTATTGTGGACAGTGAGAGCATCAGTTTACCGAAAAATAAATCATCAATAAAGTATAAAACCATTCGATTTTATATTTCCCGAACATTTAACAGTAGATACAATAAACCATAAAGTTTAGAAACTACCAACTTTATGATTATTACACGCAGGATTCTTAGATCCGTAAAATTGAATATAATTGATATCAAACCTATTACAGGAGTAATGCAGTAGTTTTAGTATATACGATTCCAAATAGTAACAAAGAGGTATATATATAAAGACATTGCAATGATAAGGAACTGGAAAATATAACAGAAATGATAGTAATAGCATATAGAACATTATTACATTCATGATTTGTAACTAGATTAAATGTTACTGAGCAACAGTAATTGATTCTGATTAAAAAAACCCCCACCAAGATATAGATATAGCCAACAAGTGGAAAAGTATTCATTATCCCCATATCGAAATACATGCTATCAGTATAGGTGAAATAAGACAAGATAAATGATAAAAGAAAAAAACAAATGTAGAAATGCAATAAATGAGATATCCTTATTCAAAGATGATAAAATAACACACCAATTCATTTCATAACTGATAATAAACTTGGCAAAACAAACAAACAATTGATGAGACGGACAATAATGACAAAAACCAAACCATAGAAACATCCACTGACTAATTTGATAGGATAGTAGATCTATAAAATTTATACATAAGATGATAATAATAATAAAAATGATTAATTTGTATTTAAACGAGCAACAAATGTATCTAAATTATATTCAGTTTCATAATAGGCTTCAAGATCATCTAATAAAGTAAATTGAAGATTTGTATGATTATCTTTAGTTACTTGATTGTCATTAGTTGTTGTAGTTGTTGTTGTTAATCGATCAAATAAATGTTCTGTATCCATATCATTTAAATTTTTATTATCTGATGTTAATACTGTATTAGCTAAATGCAATTTGAATGCTTGTAAATTCATAATTTGCTCTTCTATACTATCTTCAGTAATTAAACGATAAACATTAACTGTACGTCGTTGACCAATACGATGAGCTCGATCCATAGCCTAGGGATAATTAACAATTTAAAGTTTGAAATAAATCTAATATATTACAAAAATAAAAGATCAACAGGAAAGAATCAAATTCAGCTTCTTGGCTCTCTGAGCTAAGATCATGTGTAGTAATGTTTAATTGATTTATCACTGTATGCTAACAATACATAGCTCCCAAATTCCCTGGTAAGGCCGAGAGTAGGGAGAGTCAACTCTCCATTTCCAAATGCTCTCAAGAGGTCACGTGCATACAACCACTGACAGAGAAATCCTACTCACTGCGTTCTCGCGACATTACTGTTGTTTACGAAATTCAGTGGATGAAAAGTGAATGTCCAGCGCTTTAACCGGGTTGGTCGACATGGAGAGTTGGAAAACCATGATTCCAAGCTAATAGTCCACATGGACTACAGGATCCTGAGGGAACAAATGGTGTATGAACCTGGTGTTAGTCACTTGCTATCATATGACTGAATCTCCTGACGTTGCTCTACTTCCTTGTAAATTAGACCTTTAAGTCGAAGGCTCCGAGTGTGGCCCTTTGGGAAAATCACTTGCTTCAGTCCAGGCAGTATCTCAGCCCTCAAGGGTAGTTTCCTGGACACTTCTCTACGGTCGACTATAACCACTTCTCCATAAAATTGACCTTAATCGTCTCCACTTTTATTATTCGTGAATGCATAGGAATGGGTGACATTACTTGTAATCCTCTACTTCTTTGTCTTGAAGAATGCTTCGATGGTTCTGGATCCATGAAATTCCCATCCTATAAGTGCTTTCCGTGCTTCTTTGAAAAGCATCAGTGCAAATAATTGTTTGCGTGTGTGAAGCATTTCCCCTTCATGATCAGAATACGATAAAAGCTATCCTGAAGTCAATCTCTTCTATCCAGATTGTTTCCAATAATTGCGAAGTTTGATCTCATTTTCACAACCAATTGAATGGTTCTCTCTGTCTCCCAAAATTTGCATACATTTTGTGTACCTATATTCATTGTTGACCCAGTTGTTAGAAAAGTCATCAGCCTTGTGACTTCCAAACAATATTGTCTTTTACTGAGGTTCTTCTAACTCTTCTAAATGAAGATTCTTTAAATCCCAAGTCAGGATTTAAGTGATTTTGCTGGCTAGCTTTTTTTACTAGGGTTCTTTTGTACGGAAGGCGTTTCTAACCCTGTGTCCAACCCTTCCCCTTTATGTGAGCTTTGGACGGGCAGTAACTTTAAAAGACTCGGTTATGCAATACGAGACACTAGTCTGATTCAGAAACATTCTGTAAGCTATGGCAACCAAATGAGTTTTATATCCAACCACATGGTCTATAAACAGATGACATTACGTAATGGAACAAATCAACATCTAAAAAAGTTAGTTGTTAAGCTTTCTGTCTACAACATACCTGTAAATCTTTACTCGGATTCCAGTCATGTTCCACAAAGATTACAGTATCTGCACCAGTCAGATTTAACCCTAGTCCACCAACAGCTGTTGTCAATAGCATCAAATCGATCGATGGATCTTGATTGAATCTAATTCAATGTGAAGCAGAAAACAAAGAAAGATAAAATTACAATGAATAGTTGAGATTTCAGTTTACTGTGCTACCTGAGTACAATTTCATGGTTTGGCATGGCGAATATCCACATAATCGATAGAGGAAATGACAGTGAACAATAGGTAAAATGGATATAGGGATAAAAAATACTTCATACACATAGTTCCCTTTATTATCTTAAATAGAGCAAGAACAAAGATTGGTGCAGAATAATACATGAATTCATTTGATTTCGTTAGGTTCTCATCAGCTGCTTATAACCTAAAATATTTAAAATTCAACATTATTACAGATATTGACATACTTATACCTAAGAGGGTGATTAAGGATGAATAAATGTATCATGATGTAGCAAAGATTCAGATAGAGTTAATGAGGTCATAACACTTTGTCTCGAATAAATAAAGTTAGAGAGGGAAAGTTCTGGAACATTGAAATAGTGATTAGAACTCATGAAAATAGATTAATGGTAATAAAGAAAATATGAATTGAAATCAATCATTTATGTATGATGTAATTTATATTTCAGAAAGAGTTGCAATAATGACGCAATAAATAAATAAACAGGAGCAAATGAATAGAAAGGGTGGCGGTTATTGTTACCAGGGTAAAGAAAGATTTATTACTGTCTCTTTTTGTATACATAGATCTGGTTTTAAACTTTTGATTGCTAACGCTTCAGCGAATTTCAAAAGGTTCGAGTTTGATTGTTTGTTAATCAGCTTGAAGGACTTCAGTATATAAACTTCATGTCCTGTATCAAGGAGATGTCTTGCGATAGCACTGTTGAATGTGTTCAATCCATTTAACCTTAAACTTTTCGGAATATGTTCTTTGAATCGGACGTAGGCTCTCCTTTCTGTTCTACCAATGTAACTGCTTTGGCAGGCACATGTAAATTTGTATACACAGTTGGTGGTAACATGAAAGGGATACCTGTCGACCTTTGATTGTGTCAAAGAACATGTTGTTTTGGACAGAACAGTCAATTTCGCTGCAGGATAAGTTCTTGTCAGTGCAGTTTTTTGTCTCATATTGATTGATCCTGTGACATCGTCACCTTTGAATTGAAGTTGAATAAAAATAGGCTTTTTATTTGCTGTAATTTCTTTCGGTTTTTTATCTTCACATTTGCCGTATTTCTCAATAAATTTCAGTGGGTTGAACAGTCTTTGACCGATAAACTTATCTGTAGTCACCATGACGGTTATCACTTGGCCTAAAAGAGAGAATCAATTTAACCTGTGGTTGCTATCTTAAAGTAAAGCATGCTTATTGTGATCGTTCAACAAGACTGATTTAGCTAAAATGATTTCTTCATGAAATTTCGATGACTTAGGAGATTGAGAATTTCACTGAACACCGGAAAAATAATTACGACAATATTTTCAGGTTTAAAAAATGCGGAGATTATTTTCATTGAAAAAAACATGAGTTTTACAAATAGTAGCAATTTGTCAATCTGGACAAGGATTTCAAACTAAATTGTTCTCTCTAAAAAAAAAGAACAATGTAGCTAATATCAAGGGGATATGCACACACACAGCTAGCCAAAACCCATACGAATAAGATACTCTATATGAGTAAACTTTTTATTCCAAATAACCATCCTGCAAAGCGTCCTATCAGAAAATATCATCTGAACTACATGTGAAGAAATTCGAACACTTCACTTCTACCTGAAGTTTGTGTCGATGATATCATTCAGAAGAACGATGAAACCTCCACGACTGTACCATCTATCTCAGAGAACAAAACTGTCATCAACTAGATCTTATCGACTCACATTTAAATACATAAGGATAGGAACGCTGAATTCACTGCATTATCATTAAGAAGTCCGCTTTGATCATGCATTTATTACTAACACATAATATAAACACGAAATCAACATTATTACAAACTATGCTGTTTCGTTTAAACAAATTTCCAATTTGTAAGATGATTGGAATATTGTTATACATGCAACTGTAAGTGTTGTAGTAGTTGAAATAGTACTGACAATCAAATTAAATTTAATGTTATTCTATTCCATGTTGATAATTATTTCGAACTTCTGATAAACATCAAACAATACTGAATATAGAGATTTTAAAATCGTTAGTCAAAATTACATGACGACCAGTAGCAACCAATAATAAACTTGGCTGGTAAGGTCTGTATATGTATATTGTATCATATATATATACTAAAAATAGTAAGCTTAATAATTACAAAAAAAAACAGAAATCGCAGAAACGTTTATGCTGTAATCCATCATAACAGATACATGTATATTGAGATGTGGAAGACCAAAGGACACATTACGCCGAGAAATGGAGACAGACATGAAAAGAATGAACAAAAGTTGGATAGAACTAGAAAGGAAGGCACAGGACAGAGTGAGTTGGAAAATGCTGGTCGGCGGCCTATGCTCCATTAGCGAGTAACAAGCGTAAGTAAGTAAATTAAGTCTGTGTACATTATGCTCGCTAGAAAATGTTGTATTTAACGGAAGAATTTGAGAAGAAAAAAAGAACGGGAAACTTACCTAACCACACGATTGTGTCGTTCATTCACTGGTACAGTACCATCTAATCGTGTAGCAGTTATCCATGGAAATTGTTTTCTAAGTAAAATAAAGCATCAAAGTTCGTAATAATAATTATAATAATAACAACAACCAATAAACATATGATGTTCATTTCAAAATAAATATTCAATGGAACAACGATTTCAGTTTAAGTCGTTTAACATTAAAAAACAATTGGTATATTAGTTTTTGTTCATCTGAATGAAGTTGGATTGATAATGACAATGTTTGATCAATAGATCAGCTAAAGAAATAAATTAATCTTAACATTTTCATAACTTACGTAACTAATAATAAACTTACAGTGTGTTAACAATAATTCCATAAAAGCATATAATGAACTAGTCAACTAGTCGCCTACACAATTATCTAATCGTGAAGTTATAGTCAAAGTCAGAGCAGGAAGAAAAAACCATTTAGTTATTGAAAATATAACTTCAAGAATAAATAAATGAATTTAATCAGTTTGTGTTATATCTGGTTATCACAAGATGGAACATAGCCTACATTTAACATAGATTTTTGTGTGAACGCTTATTTGTTTTGTATAAACTTGGTGATTTTTCATGATATTAGATTTGTATAGTTGATTTACTAGATCTCCCTCTTTACACTCGAATTTGTAAGTTAAGGCACTGGATAATTAATTACTGATCTCATTTAATATGCTAAAGTCTGAAAATTTGCGTACATGAAATAATGTTTATTCATTATGTTTTATTTAAACATTTAATTAATGAAGTAAGAGTTCTCGATAACTAGTATTTACAGAGAAGATCTTTAGTAGGGTACTTCAAACAATCATTACTTATTAATTGTAAATGTCGATTTTACTACAAACAGTCAAAAACAAACGTAGCATCAGAAAAACTAATACACAAAACCATAATTATAGGCAGTTCATCATGAAGGATATAAAAGACAACTGATAGAAGATTTGCAAATGAAGTATTTACTGTATGGTTCCCATATTTTACGAAAGAACTCTGTAATTTTGCACTGAAAAAAATAAATTGGTTGTCCTCACCCAATGTCTTACTACATATCAAGTAAAAAAATCCTAAAGCCTTACTGATATATATATATATATTCAAAATATAGTTTAGTTGCCTGAAAGATGAACTGGCGGTGTACACATTGGTCCACGATAATACTAACTAGCAATCAAGAACCAAGAAGACATTGCTAACAAACTGTCAGTTACGTGAAAAGCTTGTCCTAAAGTAGGATGAAACAATTCTTCACTGCTTCCTGATTTCCGTTGATTGTCTAAGTAAATTCAATCCATGATGTGAAAATGGAAGTTCAAACATCTCTAAAACACTAAATACATCAGTTTTGTAACAGAACGCATGAAAATTTAACATGGAAAAAAGCAAAAGCAGTGTTATTTACTTCAGCATTTCTCCAGTCAATTGTAACATTTCACGTGTTTGAAAGAACATTAAAGCTCTGTGTTGACTTAGTAGACCAGGATAGGAATCCAAATAATGAGATGAAGTCGACGTCCCAGACGTTGACGACAAAGTGTTACCACTATTACCAGCATTTGTGCCATTGATTGAGTTTGGACTCCCGAAGCCACAATCAGTTAGAAGACGGCTTAATTGATAATTAAAAAGCATATAGAAGTTAAAAATATATCAATAACGAAGAGTTATTGGAGATAAATTGGATACCAATTTCTACGATTCAGTTTATAGAAAAAGTCTTGTTTGCTTCCACAATCAACAAAGAATATAAACTGCCTCAAACAGTATAGACTGAAATCTATATACAATTGAATCGGGATACGAAAACTGAAGTTTTCAAGCTACAAATTACACCTTATACGACTAGATGAAGGGCATGAATTTGATGTCACACATTTAATAGGCTTTACACTCTACGAATAGTAGAACTCATCAAATGAAGAGTAGCTTATTACCATTTAAAATGAGTAGGATGAAATTATGAATATTATGAAAGACAAAGACGATACAAATAGCATAACTTTGTTCTGGTTACCTTTATTCAGAAAGTGATCTCATGAAAAAGTTATCATCGTCGTACCGTTATACAGGATAGATAAAACTAAGTGATGCTGATATTGAATTCTGTACAATGGGAAGTGTGAAAACAACATAATCAATTTCATGGTAGGATTACTATACATGCGACCAGTTAAGTTCTCCCCAAAACTAATGTTCGACAAAAGTGTAATAACCTTAATATCTCAGTTTAGTTGGCGATAATGATTTCTGATCAGTAATCTAATAGTAATTCCAAAAGGGGAGACTGATGTAGTGACAATAAGAAAATCAGTTTGATAACAGAACTGATATTAAAAACTGTTGAATATGCAAATAGGTTGATAATTATTAGAATTTTAGAGGAAAATAATTGTATCATTAATTATAACAATGATAATCACAACAATAAACAGAAACATACCATAAAGCCAATAGTTTCCCACTATAATCAACTGCTCTTAACTGTTCCATTGAATCTATGCATAATTCTTGTTTAATCTCATCAAGTAAAGGGTGATTAGATTTTAAAACTAAACATGGATGATTACAAACTGCTTGAAAGTAGCGTAAAGCATGAAAACCATGTGATGTAGAAACGCAACCGAACGAGGAAGAACGACATTCAGAATAAAAGTCACCACTACTAGCCGTTACAAAATTCATCATTTGTTGTCCTTCATCAGTTTTTTGAAATGTTTCATACAATTTACGCTGGAAAGGAAAATATTTGATATAAGTTAAGAAGTAAATTAAAAACATTCAAAGAAAAGTAGACAATGCATAAGACAAGAAGACAGTAATATTCGACAACTGATCAACACAGAATAAGCAATCACCATTATTATGTCAAGATGACAATTGGGGAAAAATAACAAATAATGCCAGCTCGGTGGTCCAGTAGGTTGAGCGTTCGCGCGCGAGACTGAAGGCCCTGAGTTCGAATCCCGCGAGCGGGATCGTGGATGTGCACTGCTGAGGAGTAACACAATAGGACGAAACGGTCGTCCAGTGCTTCCAGGTTTCCAACGGTGGTCTAATATTAATCGGTTCATGATCTCAATCAAAAAGCTAATAATCTCCACAACCCCTATACTGATAAATAATAATCCATTATAAAGAAAGAGAATGATAACTATCCAACTGAACTTATCGTTTGTCAAGACCAATTGATAAGATAAAATAGGTGACTGCATGCCGGGTATTTTGAGAAAACACCACTTACTTCATAAGAGATTTCATTACAGTGTAAGTTGGTGAATATCTCCCTATGAATTAGATAGCTCACACTTTTATTAGAATTTTGGACTACTGTAATTGATTTCAAAAAGATGAGTGTCATTGAAACCTTTTGTAATAAAAGCGACATTTGCGGAAAGGTGAGAAAGTGTTCAGGTTCGAAGATCTTGGACTATCTCATGATTATAATCAGTCTGATTGTATTGACATTTTTAGTTGGTTAGATCGTTATTAATACCAGATTTAATAATTAGTGTATATCTACTAAAACAGCTGTTCTTCTTCTTTTTACCTACACTAACTAATACAAATTAAATAAACAAAAGACAAAAGAATTAGAACAAAACTCACTTGAATTGGTGTCATTTTACAGGCAAAATCTTGAATAATCTTCGGTGGTAAATCTTGCATAACATCCTCTTTTAACCGTCTCAACATAAATGGCAATACAAGTCGATGAAGTTTCTCCAATGCTAATTGACCTGTATGTAACATACAAAACAAATTGACAATCATTTATTTGTATTCAACCTAGATTGATTTAAGTCACAGAATAATGATCGAGTTCAGAAATATTCACCGTTGATTATCGAAATAATAAAATATACATTTTTCTTAGTTTCCTCTTTACACTGGTACTACTGAAATACGAACATATTTAGCCAATAAAATTTAACAAGATTTATTTGTTGTGTTTATAAGTAAATACCCTACTGATAAATCTAAATATGGGACTGATTAAAGGAAATTTACTTATTAATGTTAAACAGAGAAGTTTGATATATGTCAATTGAATGTAAATATCTTGTAGATCGGTTCATGAGAAAATATGTAAACAAATATTTTCATAGTTTAAGTTACAGTTTGATCGTATCTATACCAGCATCAATAATTAAGAAGCACTGAACAATTGTTTCGTCCTATTATTGAACATCTCAGCAATGTGGAACCACGATCACGTCACAAGGGGGTCGAACTCAGGACGTACGGTCTTACGCGAGAACATGTACATTCTAGAACACTGAGTCGAAATCTAATGGTGTACATGTCTAACTTTAATCAATTTGCGATATTGCCTCTTGTGGACCTCGGTATACAAATATTTTTATCACGTTTGTAGATACGTTAACAATAACAACCATCAAAGTTTTATAAAGCTATTTCGAATTCCAGGTTATCAGGAGTTACAATAATTTCCACTTTTTATCTCTTGAAAATCATTATAAGTATTATATTATAGAATAGTTTCAGAGTTGTTGAACTGAGAAGCAGAATGATTGTTTCAAGCACTTACATAATACATATAGAGTAAGAACACAACAGATAATGCTAAATCTTTTTGATGTTACCTTCACGCCTATGTATGTACATAACCGCATAGATACTGTGAATTAGAACTAATAGAATAGGATTTACATAAACAATGAATAGTAAGAAAAAATAAATATATTTTAAGTAATTCAATTATATAGTGGTTAAATTTATATAGAATACAGTCAACTACACGTTTTTTAAATTATTGATACTTTTGGATAAATCAGTCACTACAATTTTTAAATTTACGTGACAATAGAATGAAGCAGAATACCATAACTAACCTGCTTGTTGGTCAGATTTAGAAGCTTTAATATCTCGACTAGCAGCCACAGGACGTGCGAATTTCGCTAAAAAATACTGTTCTGTACCCAAAAACTCAGGCATAAGAAAGTCGAACAGAGACCATAGCTCAGAAACTCTGTTCTGAATAGGTGTTCCAGTCAAGATGAGACGATGCTGAGCAACTAAATGTTTTACTGCACGTGTGACCTATTATTAAACAAAAATGGAAAGACATATATTCACATATATACGATAGTAAATAATCCAATTTGGCAACAAATAAAAGGGTAAAAATTCTAAATAACCAGTAATAAAACAAATTCTAGCTGAAAAACAAACAAACGAACAAACATAACTTTTAGCTTAACACCTAAGCTGAAGTCACGGAAAAGAAGAGACAATACAAATTCATAACAATTATTATACGTAATCATCATTGAGAATTTTCTATTTCGATATGAATTACATTTGTGATATCAATATCAAAAAGTGCAAGAAACAATATCAATGTTTAATTAGATGAATTTAATTAGAAATAGTAGTACAGTACAGAATGTCATCAAGGTACTTAATTAAGTAATGGAGTGGCACATTTTACATTCGATATGATCCAACCGAGACAAAACAATTGTGTATAGGTTAATTCGAATAAAAACTGATTATAGAGGAAATTGAACATGATACGAAACCAAACATTTCTGGTCAGAAATTGTAAATAAGTAATAAAACTTTCCGAATTTACCATGGACAAACCGAAAAACGAACAAAAGCAAAAATCCTTTTTCAATACACAATAAGTATTGATTGCATTTCATTATATAGAAGTATGGAGACAACAAACAGGATTAACTGGTAATTGATTGTATAGTTTCTAAAACGTTGAAGTATTGAAGATCAGAGACAAATAAGGCAACCTAAGTAGAAACTTAATTAGTCATCGTTTACCAGTCAAACGGATATGAATTCTCACCAAGATACACAACTGGAAATTTTTTTTGCATAATGGGATGATCAAAATATACTATGTGATTTATTCGAAACCGGTACGTGCCAACTAAGCGAACTTAATGGCCACCATGTAAGACAGTAGATTGATGGGAACAGGGATCAGTTACAATAATAATGCTCACTAGTGCAGACTAACATGTGAAAATTTTAGACCAACTTTTTAGACAATGTAAGCCACATGATGTTAAATTAACAATTTAGATATTGAGGGGAATCATAAATTAGAATGTCATTGAATATAACCGATTACATGGACAAAAAAAGAAAGCTTAGGGGAAAAACTAGTTGATCGTTAAGTATTCATTTATCATTAGAGAAAATGCACATAAATATAACGACAAACGAGAAAATAATAATCAGAGCAAACAAACAAATCCAGAAGTGAGACATCCGTGCGCAAACACTCAGATAATTACAAATACCATAGAGAAAACCATAATCAGAAATCAATAAATTAAGTACATAAGTGAATTTTGCATGTGATATTAAAAAAGACAAATCGATGGGAGGTCTATCAAGAAGAGATTTTAAAAATCCATTACGACAATGAATTTCTGAGGTTATGACAAATGTTTGAACAGAAAAGAAATATATAACGACTATTGAGTAAACCAATTCAAAGCTTACCTTTGATTTACTACTCTTGATAATATGACCCTCATCTAGAACAACATAATTCCAGTTGATTAATCTATAAAGGTACACGAAAAACCAATGATTTAGTAAGTATATGTGAAATGGTAAATGGAATAGCCAATGGTGGATGAAGAACTCGATAAGTGGTGTTTAATTTGTTAATTAAAAGAATGCACTAGAGCGAATGAGTGTTTCAGAATAAATAAAAACTAAGATAAAAGACGTTGTTATTGAGCTATTCGAACTATAACTGACCAATTGTCAATTTTTGCACAGTGATTACTTCTCTCGGTTTTTTTATCAAATGCTTTACGAGTCAGTAGTCGATCCTTGATGGGTAAGTAAAAGGAATCTGTGTAGTAATACGTTCTGTTTTGGATTAGAGCAGCTTTATCATGGGTATCGCGTGCTAACAGTAATGTTGTTGGGCTAACAGTTGTTGGATGTAGAGGAAAATTGAAAAGCTTCAGATGTGGAATAGAATGAGTAAGATAGATAACCATATGTTACAGCACTAATAGTGGAATGAAAGTTGACGCGAATTGCCAATGTATGATTGAAACCTTTGAATAATGTAGAGACTCTTCAAAAGTCGATGTAGTCAAGAGTAGCATGCAACTACTGTACATACGCAACATACCAAAAAATACATAGATTAATTTGTTTAATTTAACCTATAGTGTGAAGTTGCCAGGGACAACCAATATGTTAAATTACTCAGAAGCTGAATATTTATTTCAACAATTTCCTTTAAGTAATTTGTTTGTGAAAGAGGAATTTACAGGCAATATTGCTCACTAACATTCGAATTGATATCAGCTACGGTGTCTCAAAAAATCAAGCAAATATGAAGGACAGTGATTTAGTGAAAACGAGTCAGTTTGTTTTAACCGAATAATCAACAGAAATCATACAAGATAACAATCAAATAGAAACGATTATCGAATGAGGTTATTTATCAATAATCTCAGGAACTGTTTGTAAACAAATAATCATATATTAATGCGGAAAAACTTACTCGAAAAATCCTATATCACTTCGAATTAAGTCATAAGATGTAATGATTACATCATACTGATGTAATTTGGACTGAAGGCTGAGGATAAAAACAGAGAACATCATCTATTGTTAAGTGATTAAATGAAAAGATGTGAAATATACGATATACTCAGTGGGTTTTTATTATCTTGAATGTTAATTGTTAAATCACAAGCTTCAATTAATTACATCAACCAACACAATTATCATGGGTGAACAGTACTACTAAATCGTACATACAAAAAGTGTAAATCAAACTGATTATGTCCAGAACTATAAAAAACTGTTAATAGACTTGTATTAACAAACTACCTATAACAAATTTAAGTATCACGACAATAATTTTAGCAATAGGTGTTCAATATGCATGACCAGAATGGTGTAGACAATGTGAAGAATATTCTGTAAATCACTACGAATAAAAGAACTGCGTGATTATATAGAACTATCTTACAGACTCAGGCTAAAGTTACAAAAATACATTGCAAATAAAACACAAAAAGTAAGTGAATAGATAAATTGACGTAGACGAAGTTCATTTGAGGCAGTCAATTGTTTGATGAATAAACAAAATTTATAGGTAAGAGATTTGGGAAGCACATAGTATTTTTAAATACAAAATATGACCAGCACAGCTTATTTAACAGATGACAAGTAATCAAAGAAAACTTCAAATCATAAGGTTTTTGACGCTAATCTTAAACATTCTACAGAGTTCCTTAAACAGCTAAATCAAAATCGTGCATAATTTAATCCAAACATTTACGACAATTAATGTAATGCAAACAAACAATAATATTAAAAATCCTACAACCAAACAGCCCCGTAAGAGATACCTGAGTCGAAAAGAGTTTCGGTCCACACAAAATGATCGTGTTTAAGTTTATAATTGAAGGAAAATAACTTACTTTTGTCTAGCTGTAGGACTGCCGCCATAAATCAAAGGATTCAAATCTTCAGTTTGTGCAAAATGTTGTATTTCATGAAACCAATGAGCACATAAAGTAGATGGACAAATAATTAGCGAAACTGGGAATTTTTCATCAATTTTTGTATTCATCACAACAGACTCATTAGATATACAATATTCATTCGAGTTATTTATCGCCGAACATTGTTTCAATTCATGGTGACTACCGGCTAGTATACAAATAGTTTGTAACGTTTTACCTAAACCTAAGTCATCACACAATACACCATTTAGACCGTAACGATTAAGAAAGCACAGCCAATTTACTCCTTCCTGTTAACATTGAAGAAAGATGCAATATAAAAATAATGATAACGATATTATAAAAAGGAAAGTTAAATAACAATTTCCAGTATGAATAAATGATAATTAACCAACGGATGATGAATAGCATCTTTGAAAAGCATTAACAAATGTCATTAGAAATAAAAAAATGACATATTGATAGGAGGTATCACAATTCATTAAGTGTTCAGTGACGTTGAGTTTATCATTATGAAAGCTACAATAAGCCGAAAACAAGATCGAATAGCTAAATTTTCGAAATTGTTTGATCGGTTTTTCTTTAAAAGAGTTGCACTGATGCTGTCCAAAGAAGCACGGAAAGCACTTATAGGATGAGAATTTCATGGATTCAAAACCATCGAAGCATTCTTCAAGACAAAGAAGGAGAGGATTACAAGTAATGTCACCCATTCCTATGCATTCACGAATAATAAAAGTGGAGACGATTAAGGCTAATTTTATGGAGAAGAGGCTAGAGTCGACCGTAGAGAAGTGTCTAGGAAACTACCTGATCAACATGTTAGAATAACTGAACACCGAGGTCAGGATGAACAAAGTGGTTATCATGGTACGATATGGATTGTGAACAAAAATAGTGAGATATTTTCTGCTAATCTATGTGCTTTTAGCATAATGAATATAGGTGGGAATATATGTACATCCACCTCGTAGAGAAAGTCAAAGTACAGACTAAATACAGAGAAGCCAATAAACGAGTGAAGAGGAAAAGTGTGACGCACAAGCAGAAATATGTGTAAGACTCAGCAGTAACAGCGAGAAAAGCTGGTAGAGAAAGAAAACAGCAGCTTGTGAAACACTAGTTAAAAGATCAGTGCCTATACTAAGTAATCGGATTGTCTAAATTTCATATTATACCATTGAAATCTCAACATAAATATTGTTGTAATTTAACAACCTGTGTCTATTCAGGAAGTATGATGTAACGTACTGATAGAAAAGGTATAAATGAGAAAACCAAGAAAGATATTCTTACTTTACAGAAATATTTAAGTGACGTTAACATTGAAGACAAAATGGATAGCTGAATTATGGATTAAACAGTTTAGAAATAATAGCCAAAAAACAACGACACAGTAATTGAGTTTGTTTCTTTTTATTAAGAGTAATTAATATAATGTTTGTGCGGGTTATGAAATTAGACTCATCTATTACTACAATTTGAAACAAAATTACTTATATTAGACAACATATTTAATTCTCGTTTATGTATGTGTACACACGTGCTGGTGTTTTGAAAGATGTTTAATTTGTATAGATATTGAAAGGGGCGGGGTCGGTACAATTTAATAGTCACTTCTTCTTAACAACATTCAAAGCAGCTGGAACTCAAAATGTTTCCTTGTTCCTTTGGTTACAATCCTACAAGATAAACACTATCAACATTAACAACAACAACAACTAAATACAAAAATGTTCACCTGTTGGTATGTTCGTAGTGTACCATTTATTTTAATTGGTAGATTGTATGATTGAATACGAGCAGGGTGTAGTAAATTATCAATAAATTCACGTTGTTCAAGGCGAATTTGCTTAAATTCTTCCTTCATTTTTTCAGGATTTGGAATCGATGACTAAAATTGATGAGAATGGAAACAATAAAATGATTACAGATTGGAAAATAATAAATTATGTTTTATCAAGAAAAATTGGTGTAACTATCTAAATATCAATTTGTCGATTGAGCTACTTAGCGCAGGAAGTCGTCTTAAACATGGATATGTAAGACCCATTTCATCCACAATTTCGAAGAACATTCATCAACTACATTTATGTGATAGAAATTAAGTATTCAAACCCAGGACCTATGAAACGGCCGTCCAGTGCTTTCAGGTTGTCCATGGTGGTCTAGCTTCAATTGACTCATGATTTCAATCAGTGAAATTTCTAAGATCTCCACGAAACATTTCATTAAAACTAATTGTCATATCAAAAATATGAATCACTTATATATAGTTTTATGATTTACTCAGAGAGAAACTCTCTCTCTCTCGTGGAAAAAAGTATCTAATCAATTACATGATATGATTAATGAGTTCAGAAAAGAATTTTCTTAATAATTAAACCTTTTTAGTAGTTAAGCCTGAAAAATATGAAATCTGGTAAGAATAAAAGAAGAATTATTTTTAACTGGTATGTATGTGGTGTGAGCTACATAAATCCACATATGTAGTATATGACGATAGTCAGGAATAAAATGTATTTCAGTAGAAGATCGAGAAGGAAAGAACAGAAAGCAATTGGTATGAAAATGTAGGAAAAATGAATTCTGAGATGATGAACTGATATTTGCAAAAGGAACAGTCAAGTTCGTGACAATATATTGATATTTTGTAAATTAAATATTTACTGTATCACTATCAGATTTTACATTCGATTGTCCCCAATCTTGTCCTTGCTCACTACACTTATGTTCTTCGTGTGTTAAACAGAAAGCAAATATAAAATTGATTCTTGTTAAATACATTTTCACAATAAGATATTAATCAAAATCGGTTCAGGCTAGAGTGTTACCTAAGTTGACAATTTCATTTGTTGACATTAAAATATTTTTAATTATTTCAAAACACAAGTGTACACTATATACGGATTTTGAGTAATTGAACTTTACTGAGAAACTAACACAGGGCAAAAGCTTAACTAAATGAATACTTCAATATTTACAGATATAGATATTAAAATGATGAAGAGAAATAATAAACATTATGAAGTAAATAAATAAACACACCTCTAACGGTAGTAAATTCAATAAAGCTGCAAACAATCTTCCTGCTGTAGAACGTATATGTTGATTAGAATTTGATATTAATCTTAAAGTTGGAGTTAGTAATAAAACTACATATGGTAAAAACAATTTCAGATTATTAGATAATAATGAATTTGTTCCATCTTCACTATTACTATTAATCGTAATATTAGTTGTTAATTCATTTGGAAGTTTCGACTCAAAATCCAATGTTGATTGTTCATTCACAAAATTCATAAAACATCTACACATTGATAATAATGAAGATGACTTTGAATTCGGTTCAGCAAGTGGATCGTCAAGAATAACTGGTGGGACACTTTGAAGAATATAACTGGATGAATTATGCATGTTGGAGAATTTTTCAACAATTGCTGTAACCAAAACATAATGCCAACTTAGTGAAAACAAAAGTGATAAATTGAAAAGTGTGAAGCGACGAATGAAAGTAAAGTACTGATAACAAATTTATTCCATGATGAAATAGTTCATCAACAAACCATGATAATCACACCAGAAATAAAAGTGAGCATTTGCGATTAAAAACCATGAATAAAAATGTAAATTATCTACTCGATTCAAAACATGTAAACAAACTAGTAGCTTAACATCTCAATTTTCAAACAGTCTCTAATATATATATCAGAAGAGTATTTGTGGATATTACAGTAATTTCAATGGTTGAGATCATGAGTCAATTGAAGCTAGACCACCATGGAAAACCTGCAACCACTGGACGGCCGTTTCGTCCTATTGTGGGGCTCAGCAGTGTGCATCCGCTAGACCGCTGAGCCGGCAGGTTTTCCATCGTGATCTCATGATCTCAACGATTGATATATATATATATATATATATATATATATATATATATATAGTATTCGTGTATTTCATTTAGTCTATTTCAAATATCACACATTACAAAGAAAACTGAACTTACTTAAAAATGTTTCCAATGTACCAACACATAATGTTGATGAATCAGTTGGTAAAAAAATGCCGTTACTAGTAAACAATAATAATGGCAATAAAATATTTAATGTATAAACTGGTCTTAACAAAGTTAAGTCAGCAAGAAGACGTGCACCGACCCGACGATAAATAATACTTGGTAAACGAATAACTAATGAGGCTAACCAGATAATTTGCTCAAATGATATATCATCTTTTTGATCACAAAAGGTTTCTTTTTGATCTGGATCAATACAAGGTAGAATAACATTGAGACATGAGGACAAAACAATCAATCCACTAAGTAATTCATCCTGGTTTGATTTAGGCAATTCAATTGATTTCAGTTTGTACATGTTAACTTTGATTTCTGTAATCATAAAACAGTAAGAAAAACAAAAACAAACTATCAGATAGAAATAACACCCACGATTACTCCTAATCCCATTACAATCTTAATAGAAGTTGTATTGAAAATTACCACGTACAATTATCATGAAATGAATAAAAGTTATGAACACAATTTAATACGACTTCGAATACTCCTCTCTGAATCACATCCTTTGTTGAGTGATAATTTAGTGATTATTTAAGGACGCCTTTGTCATCTAACGGTTGATATAAACATTGTCGCTATAAAGCTATGCGTAACAACACATTATGCCGAGAAATGGAGACAGATATGAGAAAAATGACCAAAAATTGGACAGAACTAGAAACGAAGGTCCAGGACAGAGTGGGTTAGAGAATGTTGGTCGGCTGCCTATGCACCATTGGGAGTAACAGGCGTAAGTATTTTAAGTATAAAAGTCAAACAAATCTACTACTACCATTTTAGACATAACTAAGATACTTTTTTTCTGAATTAAGGTAGAAATTTTTTTTCATGAGATTTCATCGCATTTAACTTGAACATAAATGAATTTGACAATAAAGTTGTAAAACATGATTCAACAGTGCGAATGAGGTCTAAAAATACCATAACAACTTATTTTACTGGTAAGAATTACGAAAAGCTGTAAAATATATCATAATGACAGAATCAATACAATCTGAACTGTTTTCAAGAAACGTATCCTGATGCATGAACATAGTTGGAAACTTACGATAGCATAGAAAAATACAATTTATTCATCATTTATTTGTCCTGTAAAACTCAAGTTAACAGTTTTTTTGTCATAATACATATGTAAGTTCAAAACATCTTACTAAGGTTTTGTTTTGTCGTATGGTTGTTGATGGGAAATGTCAATCAATATAAACAAGTGTCAATATACCGTGTAAGACAGCTAAACAGTTCTGAATATATGATAAACACAATCTCCGTGATTTCACTCTACTGATATCGTTTTTGGTTATAATTTCGATCTGAATGGAAAACTTAACCATAAGAGAATTAGCGAAAGAAAAGCAACAGAGAAATGAACGATAACGTACCGTCAGTCAATTTCTTCAAAGTCGAGTATATATATCCCCTTCTTTCAGATATTTCTCCACCTTGTTCCATAGATTCACCATTTTCTACTAAAATGCCTGATTGACGATAATAATTAATGACAATTTTGACTGGATTTATCCAAAATAAATGCCATAATGATGGTATACCAAGGCGAAGACTATTTAATGAGACATTTGATAAACGATGATGACAAGGTTGATGATCGATAGGTTCCATAGTCGCGCTTGATGATGATTTCGATGATGACCAACAAGTTTGATTACCTTCTTCATGATGATATAAATTGATAAATGTATAACAAATGCAAGACAAAGAAATGTAAGCCCCACGATGTTGGGAAGACTGATGTTGTGCTTCAGACGATGACAACGTGTTTGTAACCAAATCTAATCGATATGTCTAGATTTTAAGTACAATGTCAATGAAGACATGATCAGTAAATGAGCAATACACACAAGAGGAAAATCAAAGGAACGGACACTTTGATGAACAAAAGTAATCTTTAACTAGATTGGTTGTGACAGAGAACGAAATAAATAGATCAGCAATGTATATTTCCTAGTCTTTACTGAATTTAACGAAGATATGAAATTCTTAAATTATTTATTTTTAAGATACTAATAGCCCAAAATTTAATTATTAAGGTTTAATACTGTTATATTCCGATGAGAATAATGAATGGTAACTGTTGGGACCCGTTTATGGACCAATACTATGCGTATATTGTTATCGTGTAATTGTTAAATGACTAAACTATTCATGTTCCACTCATTATGAGATTTATTTTGACCTATAAACTGTTATTATACAATTTACCATTCTTGAGTTATGCCCAGTCTCCCACATTCCCAGCCACATTTGCCTAAATCTTGTACAAATGTTGTTTCCTATTTTATGGTACGATGTGGTCTGTTTAGTTGGTAATATAAACCCAGTATATTTGAAATACATGATTCATATCGCAGAGGCTGAGATTGGTGTTCTGGGCTTAACTGGCTGGGCTAGACAGGAAGCAGGAACGATAAGTACTCTAGACTGTTCGTGCAGGTTTTATGCGTCATTGGTCCGATTGATAAATCACTGTTCTTTAATTGGCGGTATCATCAGGTCATACATTAACAGGGTACATAGGCCGCAAGTTATAACAAATACAAACAGTTTTAAATGATATTTCTTTTATCATAATATATTTTAAGTTGAAGTGAAATCCCCTAGCCAACGGAAAGGGTACGACAAGTACAAAAAACACCCTAAAATCCATGTGAATAATACGATTTAATTATCTCCATTGAGATTTTTATTCCCAGATTGTAGACTATGACTGATATAATGAAATCATCGTATACAATTTATGAGCTATAAATATACGTGTAATCAATAGTTACCGTTTATAACAACCTGAATTTCATCTCCATTGTAACATTATATATTTTGAATGGATAAGATAATTTTGGATACTACAAAAGTATGGTGATACAAACATAAAGGTCCTATCATACATATAGATATTTCATTCTGCATTATTATCAAAACAATAACACATTTCTCTTAAGAAGTGCTATTTGGAATTATATGTGCTTTAGTGATATACTTTACACTGAGACTGAAAATTTACAATGTATTATGGAAGAAACGTTCAGCTTGCCTACTATCAAAATCATTGGAAGTTGGATGGGTAAAGGTTTAAAAACATAGTTTGATTGTTATTACTCTAACAACGAATTATTTCAGTGTAAATCGGATGAATAAAGTGAGATGCTCGCATGCACAACGGTTATAGTCTGCACAATTCTACAGTTAAATGACTAGTTTCTAGTTATCATTACCGTTATCATAGATTCACACCAACAATATTATGTTGAACATCATTACTTTTAAATTTGCACGTTCGATGACGAATGACATGGTCTGAAATTCAATAATTCCAGAAGTTTCTTATTAAAAACAATCCTTTTAAAACGAGTTCATAGAATCAATATGAACCAAGCAGTATGGCTTTATAAGTAGGAAATATTGTTGACAATGCATCGGGAATTCGGTGAATGGGTTTTAAGGAAGACAAAAGAAATTATCGAAGTACAAAACCAATTTGTATTGAATTCTAAGAAATTAGTATACTTTAGAAACTGGACACACGAAATAAAAACTTCCGGTTTTCGTCTTGTCTGTGATCGGACAAGACCACACAGAACACAACACACGTTCGGGGGTTTTACAATCACGGAAGCTTAGAGGTTGTCCAGGTTTTAGATCATCCCTAAAATTTTAACAGACCTCATTGAGAAATTCGATCCACTCTAGAGAAAGGTCGTTTCTATGATGCGGTATAGTCATAAATATTCCTCAGAATTTCTCACAGTGATTTCGTGTTTGAGGCAAAATTCGATACAGTATAGTTAGCCTATTTATTGAATCATTGATGATTTACACAATTTAAAGATAAAAAATTACTTTTAAAATAAAGAGAATCGGGAAACATTCTACAACAGTTAAAAAGTAACAAAAAAAGCAAAAGTAGATGGAAGCTGAAAAAGAATGGAACTTACCGAGAGAGAATTAACACATGCTATTTTAGTATCAACTGATGACTGATCTTCATTGGGTTGATGACTTGCTTCTGATGACGGATTTGAAGTATTTGATAGCGACAACAAGAAGTCTGGGTTGCATTTGAGTTCGTTATTACGTGAAAGTGATGCGAAAAAATAAACCAATAATATATGGATGAAAATACAAGGAATTTAAAAATTACCAATGTAGGATTGTGGATATTGTTGAACATCATTTAAATCAAAATAAATCAATTAAAGTTAAACAACTACTGAGAACCTAGAAGCACTGGATAGCAGTTACATCCTAGTATGGAACTCCTCAGCAGTTCGTATCCACGACCCCAAGAACTTTAGATTCGCGCGCGAATGACTAGATGAATTGAGGTCTAGTGGTGGTGAATTCTAACTTCAACGAATCTACGACAGTGCCCGAACATCTTTCGAGACCAAAGTTCTTGATTATGGTTCCCGCTCACAGGGTTGTAGATGCGAGCTGCTGAAGAGTTCCATATTAGGATGAAACTTCTGTCCAGTATTTTCTAGTTCCCATGGGTTGTTTAACTTTGATCGTTTCATGATTTCAATGAGATTTAAAAAGTGTTGAACTGCAATGAGCCGTAATCAGCTTCTGAAATAAAGGATACCAAAATGTAATTCTGAAGGAAGGAAAACAAGTTTTGCTGGATAAAATGAACTCATTCTATTTGTAGAGCCTATCGGTATCAAGCATTCCCAATCTGACATATGTATACACGGGGAGAGTGTAATTAGCCTCGTTCTCGCAGTGATAGTCAAATAACCTTTCTAATTTTACATCTTCAGATGTTTACGTAATAATTCGATTTTATTTTTAAACATGTTGAGTAATTATGCAATCAGTTATAAATTTCATGAAGTCACTGACAAGTGGTCTGATTCATGTCGGTAGGTGTAGACTACCTGGTTGGGGACCGCGAGACGATAGCAACCGATGGTTAGAGACCCTGAATGACATGGCTCAAAATCGTTTGCAACGGCGCAAGTGCATACACTCTATGTGTTCTCCCAAATTCTAATCTTCTGATTCCTGCTTGACTCTTTTTTTTCTCCTCTCAAATTTATTTTACTGTATTATACTCTTTAAGTAACATCTCCAAACACTAATCTTCTCGATTACTGCTTATACTCTTATTACCTCTACCACTACGGGATTTGAATCGACCACTGCATCTGTGTGCTAATGTGGTGTGGCAACTCGAACTGATGTACGTACGTACGAAGTTCTACGTTGTTACTGACTGACTGACTGACTGACTCATAACACTTACGCAATCCAATTATATTTTCATTATGATTACTGGTAACTAGAACACCATAAATCCTACTTACTACTTTCCAAGACTGAAATACACTCGATTGTAACTATGCTTTATCGTACGCTTTGTATCCTATTCATTTTACTTTCATGATATCAATTATGTTACGAATAATTATTTGAACTTTACTAAAGTATATCAAAAATTTTCAGAAGGGGTTCTGTGGAGATTTTAGTAATTTCAATAGTTGAAATTATGAGTCAAAATCATGAGACGAAACGGTCGTCCAGTGTTTCCAGATTTCCATGGTGGTTTAGCTGCAATTGACTCATGCTTTTAAATATATCAAACATTTGTTGGTCATTACATTGATAACTGTAACTGTGGGCCGTTTACAAATGATCATGATGATGAGAAATCACGTAATAAAATGAATTCACTTTCTTTATTTCAAACATTTTAGTTCTTTCTTTGTTCAGATTTATTCAGCAATCTGGCGACATAAAAGTAGTTTATACATAAGATAACATCAGTTTTATAACTGTCACGTAAACAACATATCAAGAAAGTTGTATGCTTTTACTCTAATAAAGAAAAAGGCAAAAATGAGGACAACTGAAGTAGAATGAGACTTCTTTCTGAATAAAGGGGGGTAGTTTTAAATAATTCACTCTTTCTTCTCCTGTCTTTTTACAGTTTAACAAACTTTATCGATTCCAATAATCCTTCTCTCACACACTACTTAGTATCGGTTAAATGCAATATATTATATCAAAAAAAATTCACGCACAAAATATTTTCCTCACAAAAATGTAAGAATGTAAATAAATTAATAAATAAGTGAAACTTATGACTAACCTGGATCAGATTCTATTAAATAGGAAGTAAGATTTTTGATTACTTTGGTAGCAGCTTTAGAAGTGTTTGGAAGTAAACTTTTATTCGTCAACAATGTTGATGATGATTGTGATGGGGGATTAATGCTTAACATCTTCCACTCTAACCACAAAAGACGCGCTAAACAACTGGCAGCCAAGCGTTGAAGATGTACACATGTACCAATCGGTAACATATCAATGCATGACCCAACAGCACTGCTATTACTGCTACTACTACCATAAGCATTACTACCACCAAAAATCGACGATGTGGATGTAGAAGTAGAAGTAATATTGGGACGGGAATTTGTTTGAAAAATACCATCGGTACCTGAATTCAATGATCGCACAGCATTATCGGATTGATTTACACATGGTTTCACACATCGTATAGTGTCCATTAACGGACGAATAAGCAAACTTAAACGACCTGGTAGAATCCAATTCATGTTAGCAAAAGCACAGGCTATGCCCAATTCGACACTAAAAAAACGTTTTCATAAAACCGAAAGAATTACCGCAAGAATTCTATAAAAGCAAAAGTCAAAGTTTTCAGAAACGGTATAAGAAAATTAAAGGCATGAGTGTAAACATGTTAGCTATGAACTGAGACAACCTATCGAATAATTAAATTCCAATGACGCAGATACAACCAACTATTCAAAAATGTCAATGCATTAAAACTTACAGAATTGTGAATCATTTGTGATCACTAATTCAGACGAATACAAAACGATGGTTACTAAATAAAAAGATTGATATTCGCTAAAATAGATTATACTAAGAAATCGAACTTGAGACTAACTAAATAAGGACATTGAGAAGTAGTTTTCTCTTTTTATGGAACAATATAAACTCTAACATATTGTCCATCAATTATAAAAAAAACACATTTGTGCACATGAAATACAAAACTTAACTGACTTGTTGCACACAGATAATGTTTGCCCTTATGAAAAACGTACAAAATGATTTTTGTTTTATGATATTATTAGCCCCAAATACCCTGGTACGACCAAGGGTGAGAAGAGTCAGCTCTACCTCTCCAAATGTTCTTAAGTGGCCACGTGCATACAACCACTGCCAAACAAGTTCTACTCGTTGCCTTCTCGTGGCGGTGGTGTTGTTTACGAAGTTAAGAGGATGAGAAGCGAGTGTCCGGCGCTTTAACTAAGTTGGTGTATATGGAGGATTTACCTAGTGAAGTTGGAAAAGCCTGATTCCATTCTAATAGTCTACATGAACTTCAGCATCCTAAGGGATTAACCTGGTGTTAGTTACTGGCTATCATGTGACTGCATCTCCTAACGTTGCTCCACTGCATTGTGGATTCGACCTCTAGGTCAAAGGCTCGGGTAGTGGCCCCCTAAGAAAGCCACCTGCTTCAGTTTGGGCGCCCAGGTAGTATCCAAGACCTCGCACAAATTAAATGATTTGTGTGGAGCATGTATATTTGGTGTCCGCTTATACCAATTTTTATATGTTTAAATAAATAAATGAAATAAATAAGATATTTTAATTCATAGCGAATATTACAACAATAGTGAATTTGAAACAAATCATTTCTAATTTACTTGGTAAGAAATTTTGTTACTATTTCACTTATTTAAAGTATAATGGTGTTAATAAATTTATTATAATTTCATTTAAGTATACATTGCTTATTCATTTCAAATTGACTTATGATATTTATTCTAGTGAAATCTATTGTGATACAAAGTTGGTTAGTGAATTTATGGTGGTAAAGCTTCGTACTCTCAGATTAACTGTGAAACTTTTATTATTCCTCGGAACAACATAATTAGCACTTCAGATAGAAGTGAGTCATCAGAGTTTCTACACAGATGACTGACAGCGTGTTTTGTTGACCTATATAGTAATTACCTGCATATTTGTTTTGATTGTCTCCTCTTCGAACTGATTTCGGATCCTGTATTTGTTCAGGATTTTTCTAATGGGTTAGTAATTTAGGTTGGTGTCAAAGTATTTATTGATTAATGACTAACCTAAGTACCATACATTAAAAAAAATTCCTCCATCTTTTTTTTCATTTCTTCTGTCTAAAACCTTAAGATTTCCGTAATAGAACGTCTGCCCACAATTGCACACATGAACTGATAAAAGCGAAGATGAATCATGGAGTTTGCTTAGTTGGTATTCATTGAAACGAAGATGGCGCCTGATTTGTTTCAGAATGTCACACCACAAAACCCCAGCAATACACACATCTGATCTATAACTTTTTTCACCATCTCAAGTGGACTTATTATATGATTAGAAAGCTATAACTAAATATGTAGACATAAACATAGAGTAAAACGGCATAAAGTGGTGGTAACTGGGACAATGATAAGACACAATGTCAGAAAAAATAGAATAAACAGTATTACACTGAAATAATAAATACCATTAAAAAGAAATATGATAATTATCCAAATAGATAACTAACCGATTTCCCAAATATAATTGTAAAGTAAGACAATGGTCAACTGTAGTTCGAGTTCTTTCTAATTGACAATGTAAGCGATCCAGTAGAGATGAATCAATAACAGAAGATACTGAATGCTGTTTTTCAGCATGAATTACTTCAGCCACTTTTTGAAGTAATGTTTTACAATGAACTATTGTTAAGACACCGCTGAATAAAGAGGTATAATAAAAACTGAAAGTTGACATCCTTTACAAGAGAAATCCGATAAAATTACATTTATGCATTACTGTACTTGAAATGACAAATAGGAAGAATGAAGAAAATATATGACCAATGCATGTATGTGACTGGTCCTACGTTGCAACTGACTGACTGATGATAATTCTCGAACTTCATTTTAAACGGTTAACTTTAAAAAACAGAAATAAACATATTCTATTCGGCTGAAGCAACGTGTAATGGATAATAGTGAGGGTGGACAAGAGTTATAGCAAACTTAACCAGAAATATATTTGACCAAGATAATGAATTTCAAATGGACATGGTTACAACAAGTGCACATGAACTATGTCAAATGGAAAACAAGTTTACAAACCGGATATCATAAAAATAAATATGATAACGTCGTGAACACAGGAAAACATCAAAGTAAGGAAACGTTGATGCGCAATTTTAATTTCTCGCTTTTATAAATACTTGTTTTATTTTCGGTTAAACAATATTGTGAACATTTCAGAATCATTGAGAATATTTTCTCAACACGAGTATTTAAGAGTTGCATAGGCTTCAAAATAATTGACAACGAAACAATAACATTGGTTGAATATGTAGATTTAATTATTGAACTTACTACTTCGTTGACTTATGTTTGTCATATTCATCTACTAGCTTACATAAACAACTACGTCATTTAGCTGTATAGTCATTGAGAAAAGTGAGCATCCAAGAATAATTCAGGCATCGAACTTAGGACCTTCAGGTATCATGAGTTACTTCCAGACCACGTAATTTACTGAAGCCAACAACGATAGCACTGTGGTTGTATAAGTGTGAACAGTTGTAAAAAAACATGAGTCTTACAGTGGTGAGAACGTGAACAACATAAGGACATGCGATTCTTCCACCTGTTGAGATACGGGCGAGAAAAACTTTATCTACTATAAATTGCAAATATACACAAGGACGTGTTTTCTTGGAGGTTAAATGTAACTGATGGAAATCATTGGGTTATGGATTGATCTGTTAAATATATAATTACAAGTTTAGAATGAAAGTTTCATACAAATTAGTACTTTGAATTGATTTAAGAACTTACTTTATTGGAATTTGAGAATCAACAGGAAGACCGCCACTTTTCATCAGTCGAATTAATTCGCGACAATCTTCTTGCATTAATTTGAAAGGAGCTAAAAGGGAAATTATTAATAACAGACAATATGTAAGAAACGGGTATGCAAATACCTAGTGATAATAAATCAACCATGTTAATAAATTTGGCATTGAATCTTTTCTCGTTTCAAGCTAGCATACGGAATACAATAGATAATTATTATTTTATTTATTTGAATACATAAATATTAGTACAAAGAGGCACCAAATACATATGCGCCACATAAGTCGCTTGATTTGGAAATAGGATTTTCCAACTCCCCTGGGTGGACTCTCCGTGTCCACCAACCCGGTCAGAGCGCCGGACACTCGCTTTTCGTCCTCTCAATTCCGTAAACAACACCCTCTTGGCAGGAAGGCAGTGAGTAAGAACTCCCTGGCAGTAGCTGTATACGCGTGGCCACGTGAGAGCATTTCGAGGGGTAGAGTTGACTCTAGTCACCCCCGGCCGTACCATGGCATTTGGGGCTAATTATTATTAGTTTACATGGCTTCCCTAGTTGAGATCAGGAAAACTTTTACCAACAAGAGTTTCATATTTATTGCATAAAGTATAAAAGATTCAAATGAAGACAGTTAATCGAAATCTCCAGATTATTCTGCTATGATTTGCTGTTGGACTTGCTAATACAGTCGGACAGGTACCACTACTAACCCAAGGATAGGATCTTGTATGTGAAAATCATAACAACAAAGGTAACAATTTTACCAATAACGACTTCAGGGTAACTTAACACCTCCCCTTTCAAAAGCGATCCAATCGACCACTAACATACCATCGAATTGGTTTAGGATGTTTCATGAAAGCAATTTTGTATCTTATGAGCCTAAAGGTTTATTTTATATATCTGTTACTTTGAACTCGTGTCGAAATTTATACCCAGAATTCTTCAATGGTGCTAGTGACACAAAGGCATAAATTACAGCACCTAGATACATATTAACAGTTTAAGAATAATCGTAGAATAATCAAAGTCTACAATTAATGTGCAAATATATGTTTATTCAATCTGTGATGAAAATTGTGTACACTAACAGCAAACGTCAACCCTAACAGACACAATTGTGAAAAGTCTGAACGATTCTTGAAACCTAAGGTGAGGAAAGTATATTTTAAAAGTTACAAAAATGTACAAGCATACATGAAGATAACTTTAATCACAAAACGACATTTGCAAGCGAATTCATAAAAAGCCTATGCTAAAGACTAGTCATTTTGTTTTAATTCAAAGTTATTCGAGAGTTTGTGTTCAACACTCAAGAACAATCTAGAAACAAAGCATAACACTTTTTCAGAGCTTCTTGTTCTTTATTATTTGGATGGTGTCATATCATGTTATATAACACATTTATATGATATAGCCTTGTGGGCCAGGGTAATTTTACATTGGTTTTCATGAAAACCAGACACCATCCAGGCTTTTATGTGACAATCTAAACAGTACAGCTCAATCCCGTTTAACAGGAGAGCCAGACACCGCCCAGGCTTAAATTTTATAACCCGAGCAATACAGCTCAATCCCGCATCACAGGAGAACCAGACACCGTACAAGCTTGAACGCTACAATCTGAATAGTACAGTTGAATCCTGTGGCGCAACCATATCATACCATGAATAAAGTTAATTTAAAATCGTATAAATCTTTATAAATACACACCTAGTATTTCTTCATAATAAATTACTTCAGTTAAACAAGATTCTAATCGTCCACGTAGTTGCTTTGCTATATCATGTAGGTCAATTTTAATATTAGTGAAAACACGTTCTGCTAAATTCTGTAACTGTTCCAAATGACATGATAATAATGTTGATGAAGAAGTATTCAATAAATTAGACCACGTATAAGTTAATTTGTCAATGTAATTTATTTGGTAAAATGGATTCATGGAATTAAACATCTTATTTGATGAATTCATTGAGTTATTGTCATTGTTATCACCAGAACCAGTTGGTAAAGATGAAATTGGAGATAATAAAGACCAAGAAGATAGTAATAGTCCAGAGATGAAACGTTGCATAGCTAATCTATCCTTTAAATGTAACTGACATATTAATTGGCCAATTACATAGTTTAAAACACTAATTGATGTGTTATTAATATGATTATGATCATTGTTGTTTACTGATGATGGTAATGATGAAGTAGATAACTTTGAATTATCTGATATACACGGTAATAAATGAACTGGAATTAACTGATTGTATTGACAAATACGCGAACACAAATATGCTAAAACACTATCAGAAAAAAAACAGTATCAAGTATCAAATGCAAAAGGATAGTAAAGATGAAACAAATTCAACTGCTATTCACATTGCGAATATGGATAATTCAGTTAACAACATTTCTTAGTTTACGGGGAACAAATCCATAGTAAATAAAATAATGTGAAACACATATTTAGTGATTCTAAGGTTACTGAATATATATGTATAGTTCAGCCATTCATTTAACCGTACAAAATATAGGTGGTTTCCATCCTTTAATTAATATATAAAATTAAGTAATAGACATTTGCCTTATCATTTATGATACTTTGGGGTCGTCAACCCACACAAAAGATTGCTGTACAATGTTGTATGATAATTAATGGGCTGCATTCAGCTACTGCCAGTCATCCCATACCATAGAAGATTGTGTACGATAAAAATGGGAAGGTTATCAGGCTAGTTTGAAAAATCCAGTACTAATCAATTAGATGCTGAAGTATGAGAAGGTCCCATCAAAGTGAGAAAGTGGTGTGAGAAACGATATCTTCTTGCACTCTGAGTCTATGGTCCAACAGGCAGCAGTCCAGATACATCTAAGCCTGAGTTCTGCCGCCAATTAAATGATAACCTCAATAAATCGCGCTCGAAAGATATTGTGTAGCTAACCAAAGATTCAAATGCTCAGGTTCGATGTTCAGGAACAACAGTCATTTGAGTGGCCGGTGAAAACTCCATGGTCATATGTTAGTTAGTGGTGATGGTCTCCCCAAGCTTTATGTCAACAACAACTTGTTTCTAGCCAACAGCAACTTCAAAAAAAACTCGTCACCCATATGCTCCCTGGAATTCTTCTTCTGTAACTCAGATTAATCGTATTGCGAACAGTTATCGCTGCCGTGAATGTGCACAAGATTTTTGTATCTTGTGAGGTAATTACTTGAACTATGATCATCCTCTGGTTTGCATCAAGCTTATATTGCCGTTCAGCAGCCATCAAACATCTCATCGTAAACGGATTGATAAATTCCACGTAGTTGCAGCTTTCGCTGTAACCAAAAATTAAACTGACTAAGGTTTAGTGCTACCAATAAACAAAAATCTAAACATGAACTGTGTTACTATGAAGCCATGAAAACGAAGAGATAAGACGCTCGTGGTTTCACTAGACATCACGTTTATGAGCAAGTTCCCGGTAAACACTTTACAACTTACTGATGTACGCCAGTCCACTCCGCCGAACTGTAAATTTGAAGTTATAATAAGATTCCAAAGTCAGGAAATTCCACAAAGCCTAGGCAAGGACCAAGAAGTCTGGTGGAAGAAAGTGCTGACAAGATGGAAGCAGGAGCCGCACATGGTGACTCCCAGAAACTCAATTCATCTCAGACATTATCACCAAGAAGCCTGATATTAATTAAACAAACTGGGAAGCCAATGGCATGACAATAAGTAAAATCCTCAATTGTCTGCAACGATGAAGAGAGTTTTCCAAGGAACAGTTCAGCTAGTCTGATGCCACAATGACATCGACTAGATCATGTACCACTTACTTGTCCTGAGACCCTTTATCCACCTAACAAACTTGTGTTTCTCAAGGCATTCCTGAAGTGCCACAAGTCGCCAGGTCAAGAAACTGACTGCTCTCTTTGGAAAAGTTAAGGAAACTTAATTAGTCAGTTATAAACAAAGTAGGACCACGGAAATGGACAATGTTCTGATACCTTGGAGTGAAACGCTCGTCGTTACACCTTCAAAAACGGCCCAAGTAATTCCTACAAAAACTACTGAAGGATAGGTTCACTTATGACTGCGTCCAAACTATTGACTTCCGTCATATACCAAGTGCTTCGCACATTCGAAATTCAAAGTATTTCAGAAAAACCGTGAGGAGCCTGTATCCACAGCCACTCTTTGTTGATAACAGTTAAAATTAATCAAAACGGTTGTATCGCTTTTTTTTCACTTACCTATACAATAATAGATGTTTTTAAATAAAATAATGATAAATCGTGAAATGAGTGAAAAATCTATGCTTTCGGCTTATACATAGATGAAGTCACTCTAGAAATCAATAATATTTCAAAAGTTATTATACAAGATACATTAAGGAAGTCTAAATTTGAGCCAGTTAAAAATATTTCAACAAAGAATCAGTATAGCATACTCAAATACATTTCTGAAAACTAACCGAACAGCCGAGATCCTGGTTTCTAAAACATATGATTCCATTTCTGAACGACTAGCGGTTAAGCACTGAAAACCACCAATACAATATGTTGGTTGAGGTATAAATACAGCTTGTTGATTACTCGATGGGATGTTCGCAGTTGATCTAACCTTAATCAGAATAAAATGGATATAATATTAGTACATAAATAATATACGAAATGTTGAAGGAAGATTTGAAATTATTGGTTAAGTGACGATAATGTAGTACAGTGTACTACGACATCATAGATACGAGATACGAGGATAAAATGTTATGGAATGTGATGTACAACAGGATAAAGGGAATATTATTTAACTTCAAAAAAACATTTTATACTATTTTTAAAGTCTGAATGCTAGAAGTGTCATGGAATCGAAGTTATTAATTCAAGGTCAACTACTGATCAATATTTTTGTATGGGTGTTGAAACCAAGCTATTAGCATTAAATAGAAAATAGACAGAAAACAATTTGGTCCTAATCAGTACATAGTGAACCGGAGAACCATGGACATATTTATATTCGATAATTTTGATATTTGATTATAGATTCCCTTGAAAAAGCTTGGACCAGATTGCTAGGCAAAACGTTGGATTTACTTCACATTCATTCACTGAGATTTTAAAAATACTCTTTAATTTGGTCCTCCCTTTCTAATAACTGAAAATTACAAATTTCTAATAATAATCCTCGATATATATACATAGGCTTTGATTTGGTTTGCTAAACAATCACAAGATGCTACTTCAGTACAAAATCAACATCAAAACAAATCCCCAATGCTCAAATTCAAAATAAACATTTAAGAATAGAAAATATAGAACAAGTGTACACGCATATTAAACCGCAATGTGATTGGAGTAAATGGTATATGAAAAAACTAGCTATTTTAACAAATTCAAATACTTACTGTTAGACTCGTCAATTCATCATTATTTGAATTCGATTCACTGGTTAACTGTATATCTGGGTTAGATCTTAAACAAGGTACTAAAAATTTATTTGGGTAGGGGATACCAGTCGGTTGCATAACTTGACATAGCCATACATCTAAACGTCGAAGACTCGCCTGAACAAGGCAATCCAATTTAGCTGATTGAATAATTTTGATTGTGAGCTACGAAGGTGATAGGTATTCATACGAAGAGAAATAACATTAGGATAGGGAATATGAAATAAGCTAACTTACATAATTTATCGATAGTAGCAATAAGTTAAAAATCAACAAGTTTCTTGAATTGAATTAACTTGGTCACATCCATCAAATCAACTGATCATCTACAATTAGCCTTGATAAATACTAAAATTTACAGCATTAAAACTTCAGATGAAAACAACAAGTTTATTCGTCTGACGACACTAGTGTACAAAGCGCACCTTGTAAGTGTAAAATCCTATGTCAGGTTTTGTAACACAAGATATTTTCGAACGAACGTCTGAAATATGAAAGGATATATTCATCCAAATGTATATCGGTTCAAGTCATCATACCCTGTTAGTACAGAGATGGAATTATCAGGCCAAATCCCAGAATAGTAAAGGTAGTAACAGCATCAGTGGTAATTAAGAAGATTAGGGATCGAAAATATGATTCAAGAAAATATAAATTAAATAAATAAAAAAAAAATCAAGAGGAATTCAGAAGCATAGAATCTGGGGAAAAACAAAGAGTGAATGCAACTGGGCCAATGAAAATGATTTTGAAATATGTCATTCAAAATTTCCAACCACTGGTTACGATAATCACGCGGACCCTGACTAAGTAGTCTACATCTGCTAACACGGCTCAGTCCAATTGCCAATGATTTCATCAACTGATGCAATGTCTTGGCCTGGCCGTCCATAGCTTTCTTCGAGTCTACTCCTACACCAGAAAACATCGCCCGTTGTGGTAAGCGGTGGATAGGGATACGGAAAACATCTCCCAACAGCCTCAGTCGATAAGATTTGCTGCTTTATCAATCGATTTCGCATCCTTACATAGTACTGTATTCCTAATCAATTTCTATGGCAGTTCGCTATAAGCTCTGAATCAACCAGTAAAGAGACTACAAGTTTAATGAACTTCTTTGGAACGCTTTTCAATGACAGACTGCCACAGGACTTCATGATCAATTGATTCAAATACCGTCTTAAGGTCAAGGAATACAACCATTGCCGAGTGTCGGAAAGTACGTCTTTTTACAGTTTGCAAAAGGGTCAACATTTGGTTTATGCATCCACATCCAGGTTTGAAAATAGTATGGTTTTTTTGGGTTCGCTCTTCACGGGAACTAGTTAGACGTCGAAGTATCAGATTACTCATAACCTCTTCAACCTCACTAACAGTTCAATGATTTACATCAATTTCTCTTTCAGGCTGCTTGGAAATAGTGTGTAAGTGAAATGTGAATGAAAGCCGGTTTAACTGTTCCTTAAAGTATTCTGCTCATCAGCCTAATATCCCGGACTGAGAAAGAATAATGGTCCCATCTTTTTCCGAGATAGTCTCTGTAACAGACACATTTTTAATACTTATTTTCTTGATAAGTTTGGACAGTTGTATACTGTTACCTATCGCTGCTGCCTTTTCCATTACTTCAGTTCTCAGTACCCACCACTTCTCACAATTATTACGTACGCTTTTCATCAGCATACGCTTAATCAGCCTCCGCTCTTTATCATGTTCTGAGCCAGATGGGATAGGTTTCAGAGCATCTCTGTTGTCCCTTCTCTACTAATTGGCCAAGTAATAGCATAAAAACTAATCAAGCTAATACGTTAATTTCTTGATCAAATAAAACAGCACAAGTTTTCCTTCCACGTAATATTATGCAAGTTAGCAGATACGAACCCTACGAATAGTTTAAAACTCGATAAAAACTGAAATCTATAATCACTGAGTCTAACAAGTAGATAATGTTGTACAAAGTGTCTAGCTAATTTCATCAAATAAACAAATGATTTCAGAATAGGGACTCCAGAGAAAGCATAAAGCTTGTTTATTTTCTGTGACAACCTCTCACAAAGTTCACTTAAATTAATAATATAAATTATAAATAAGAGCTAGATGAAACTCATAATTTAATAAAAAATTGAAAATCAGATAACTTACATTCGTAACCAGGGCACGTATTGAGGTACATGATTCTAAAAGTATCCGCTGGAATAAATTATCTAATATTAAATGTAGTATATCAGCAGATAAGCTTTCTATCTAAATTGTGACAAGGTGAAACAAAAAAAATACAGGCAAGTAATTAGAAGATTAGATACAAGATGTAGTTAAATAAAACTACATACAATTTAATACAACGGGTAATAATTAAACCAGATTATGAGTGAGTGCTCAACAAATTCTATGTTCAGTTACCTTTTGATATTATTTCACTATGGGGTATCTAGTGGAGGGGATAACTAGGTTAAACAGGGCATTTGGGCAATATCATATCACATAGCACTTCATCTGTTGATTTCCATCCCATCCATTTTTATATCCTCATTACAATTCCATAAAAGATATCATCAAATAGTCTCAAAACTATCCTTTATGACACAACTTCTTGTCCAATGAGAAAAAAACGATTTACTATAGTTTGAAAGGCAATGGATAATACCGATTTCCCAGATTTGAAACGATTATATACAATTTGAAAACAAATGAATTGAGGGATGAAATTTCAAAAACAATTGATAGGATAATAAGGGTGGTACTGTAAATGAATCTTTGAGTAACTGTCTCACTATTTAACACCTATTGTTCAATAAATCAAACAAAAGTAGATAATTGATGTATTTACTTCACTTTGTGGAAGCCGTTACCATTGAAAGTTTCCGACCCGACCTAGTTATATAGAAAGAGGTAGATAACCTGCACATCCCGCGTGCGGGACCGTAAAGGTGTACTGGTGAGGAGCCCTATACTGGGACGAGACGGACGTCCAGTGCTTCCAGGTTTTCAATGGTGGTCTAACATCAAACGATCCATTATCTCAATAGAAAACTTAACAATTTCCATAACCCCATACTGCTAACGTTATTTTTCGTGTCCCGTTCATTTGATTTTCTGTCCAATTTCAAACTTTAAAACTATCTCAAAGATTTGTTTTCAAGCACAGTCTTCGTAACTTTAGGCTTCTTGAAGTTAATATTTCTGAATTAGAACGAATAAATGTAAGCCCAGAAATTCCGGATTGTTCAACAGCTTATATCGGTTAAGGTCCCTTGGGATGAAAAACAGTAGGCATGAAGGAGAAAGTTTTGATGAAAAGGAAATCCAACAAATAAAGGTTGAAAAAATGAAACCATATCACAATTATTCGCTTGACAAATGAGTGACCGTGACTGACTATAGAACACAGAAATGAATAAGAAAACATGACTTACAACATTATGTAAATATTTGTCCATTCAAATTCGAACTTTTAATAGAGTTGAACTGTCTAGAACTCAAAACTGTAGTTGAAAATAGATTGTCTCTCAACTTAACTATTAATTCTTTTGGTATCCGGTTCAGGTACCCTTATTGCTTTGTATTCTTAGGACATTTTAGTGCTCTCGAATATTCCTCAAAATCAGAACACAGCTTGGACAGGTACACAGTTACATTAAATATAAATCAAGTTGAGTGGGAGCGAACCACGGCAAGAAAAGCGTTAGTACATTCATAAGTTTACACAAAATTTTGAAATCTTCTCCAATTATCCGCTAGACCTTATTGGCTAAGAATGAGCTTTAATCTAATCTATGTCCAGCAAAAATCGAGAATAGTTAAGCTTCACTCTGTTCCATAATGAGAGGTTATTAACTCTGAAAGCAATAATCAACTGAATATAACACATTAATTTTGTCAGAAATCAATTCCACTATTTTTGCGAAACCTCATCTTCATGTACTTCAAAATATAGAACACTTAAAGTTCATCAAATCGCTTTCATATGCTTTCTAATTAGCTCCAGTAAACGATTTCAAATTGTGAGCAGACCACTGTATGGAGTCTAATGCTAACAATCTTCAGTGGGTAGAATAAAACTCAAACCAGGAGTTAAACAATTAAAAGGATTTGTACCAGTCTTTCACAGTTACATGTAATGGTCGGAAATCAAGAAGTTATCTTACAAGACAATACGTGGTTGGGCATTTTCAAGAGATGAGGAAGCTTAGCCACTAAGTCAAGGTGACTGCAACATAACCAGTGAATACATGGTTAAAACTATCTAGATAGACTAAATAAATCACAAACCTGATTTTCACAAGATTCTATTACACATTGTAGAGTGTTCAAGGCACTTTGACGAATAGATGAAGAAACATGGTGTAGTAGTTCTGCTATTATCATTATCTTTTCACTTGTACTAACTCGATAAATGCTAAAAGAGGAGAAGACAAGAAATAAACTGTGATAAGGAATAACGATGAGAAGCAAATGTCAATTCCAAAAAAAAAGAAATCAAACAGATAGTATTACTTCAATAAAAATTTATGTGAAAAACAGCGCTAGTTTTTTTCATAGTAAACAATGGTAATGTTTCGTAAATTTTATTCCATTGTTTTAATTCACATAAAATCAGGTGCACTTTAACAAAAATATTGTACTTGTGTGGGCTGAGACACTAATGAGGTGCCTAGACTGAGCCTTTGATCCACAGGTCTAATCCGCTAGGCAATAGAGCGACTTTAGGAGAAACAACCTTATGGTAACTGGTGACCAAACATAGGTTTATACGCCATGTGTTTAGTCAGAATTCTGGAGCTTGGAATCACGGTTGTCCAACTCCCCTAGGTAGATCTTCTGTGGCGAGAATGGTTTTCTTGGTAGAGACTATATGGCCATATGAACACTTTGAGGAAAAGGGATTGTCTCCTTCAGTTGTACCAGGGCACATGAGGGGTTTTGTAATGATGGATGCCTATATACAGAATGTTATGTTTTATGACGACTTCAGCAGACAGAAAGCATGCACAAAAACGAAGTGATTGGTAGTCAAACCACTTAATTTGATGGTATGTATAAATGGAGCAAATACTTACAATAGAACTAGTAAGTGCAAGTACAAGGTACTATCCATTATTCAGCATTTAGGTTAGACTTTTAATGTCAGATGTAGCATAACTCATTTGTCAAGCACAGGATTATTTCCTTGGCTTTGAGGCAGTGTGTGACTGCTGGTGATGCAACCCGGCTGCCCGAACGCGACAAGGTTTTACAGAAATCACACCTAGGATGTAATATTTGAAAGCCGAATGCTAGTGCTTTTCAAAGTTATACCTGCTGTACCAATAAAATTACAGACTGTTAGTTTAAGTCAAGCAGGAACATCCAAGATTTGCTTTACTCGTCAAAAAGGCAATAACATTCCTGAACCTCTGAATATGCTTTCAAATCTAATTACATATAATCACTATTCATTTTCCAATAAGTTTGAGACATCATTGAAATCACCATTAATTCCTTATTTGATCGACTGAACATGATGTGATCGCAATGTTGATAAACGAAGAAATACTGTAACTGATAATGCTGATATTATGAGCAATTGAGTTTTTCTTGCATTGGTCGAAAATTATTTCGTTTACACACGGATGCAAACGAATTGACGCAAGGAAGAAGGCAAAGATAGGTATATACAGACTTATTTTATATCAAAGATAGGATCCCACATTGACGCACTTTTTGTTGTTAATTACAGTTTTAATTGAATACTGTTAATTCAGTTTAACTCCGCCTGTAGCTATTCTAGGGATACTGCCTGTCCCAAGTTGGGGTAAAGGAGTAGGGTTAGGTATTCAACAAAATGTTTGTAGGCGGCACAATATTATCACGAAAACGCAAACACAAAGCTACATCAGTCTCAGCGAATCACACTACACAGAACCAGATTGATCATATTTGTATCAATAAAAAATTCACAAGGTCAATGAAAGATGTGTGAACCAGAACAGGATTTGACATAGCTTCACAACACTACCTGGTTGTGGCCAAGATGAAACTGAAGCTAAAGAAACACTGGACAGCTGGGCAAACAGCAGTACAAACGCTCAATACAGACTTCGCACGAGATACTAGCAAACTCAACGAATTGAATATAACTCTCAACAACAGATTCCAAGCCTTACAGTATCTACTTGATGGAGAAGAAACTACTATGAAGGACAGCTGGAAAAAGAACAAGCAAGCACTAACTCCAACGTGCCATGAAGTCCCGGGTCGTAAGGAGCATCATCATAACAAATGGATCTCTACGGAAACCCTGGACAAGATTCAAGAAAGGAAGAACAAGAAGACAGTAATTAATAACAGCCGCACAAGAACAGAAAGTCAAGGCACAAGCTGAATACACAGGAGCAAACAAGCAAGTGAAGAGGAGCATTACAGCTGACAAGCAGAGATTCGTGGAAGACCTGGCAACGACTGTGGAAAAGGTAGCAAGAGAAGGAAATTTCAGAAAACTATGTGATATAACGAACTGGTAAGGAAATATAGTAAACCAGAGAGACCGGTCAAGGACAAAGAAGGCAAGATAAGCAATGAAACTCAAGAACAGACGAACAGATGGGCAGAACACGTTGAGGAACTCTCGAACAGATCAGCTCCATTGAATCCAACGGACATCAAAGCAGCACACAAAGACATTCCTATAGATGTCATCCACCAACGATCGAAGAAATCAGGACGGCCATCAGACAAATCAACAGTGGGAAAGCAACGGGGCCAGACGGCATACCAGCCGAAGCACAAAAGTCAGACACAATTAATTGCAAACATGATCCACGTTCTGTTCAAGATTTAGGAGAAAGAACAAGTGTCGACAGAGTGGAAAGAAGAATACTTTATCAAGATCCCAAAGGAAGATATCAATAAGTGTAATAACTACAGAAGAATCACACTACCATCCGTACCAGAAAACGTTTCCAACAGTGTTGCTGAACCGAATGAACGATTCAGTAGACGCCCAACTTTGAGATCAACAGGCCAGATTATGTGAGTATCGGTCGTGCACAAACCAAACCGCGACACTACTGGTCATCGTTGAACAATTAGTTAGGTCGAACTCGTCAATATATATCAGCTTCATTGACCATGAGGCGTTTGACAGTGCGGAGAGAAGGACCCTATGGAAACTTCTTCGACACTACGGAGTACCTAAAAAATTATTAACATCATCTGGAATTCAGACGACGGACTGCACTGCCAAGTCGTGCATAGAGGACAGAGGATAGATGCATTCCAAGTGAGGACCCAAAACATGAAAGGCTGCTTACTCTCGCCTTTTCCTTTTCTTCTGGTGATTGAATGGATTATGAACACCTCTGCATCTCAGAAGTAGCACGGAATACAATGGACAGCTTGCATTCAACCAGACAATTTGGACTTTGCAGGTGATCCAACTCTTCTATCCCATACACACCGAAAAACGCAGGTTAAGACAGCCATTGTAGCAGCACCCTGTGCAGCAGTAGGCTTCAACATACACAAGGGAAAAAGCTGGATCCTCAAATACAACACGGAGAACACCAACCCAATCGCATCTGATGGTGAAACTCTGGAAGATGTGAAATCACGTACCTGGGAAGTATTATCGATGAATATGGAGGATCCGATGCAGACGTAAAGGCAAGGATTAGCAAAGCAATGACAGCATTTCTACAGTTGAAGGACATATGGAATTCAAAACAAATGTCAACCAATGTCAAAGTTAGAATCATCAATACGAAGACCAAGACAGTTCTACTGTATGGAGCTGAAACTTGGAGAACTACCACAACCATCATCAAAATGTACAAGTATTTATAAACAATTGTTTACGCAATATACTCAATGTCCGTTGGCCAGATACTATCAACAACAAATTACTGCGGAAGAGAACGAACCAACTTCCGGGCGAAGAGGAAATTAGGAAAAGACGTTGGAAGTAGATAGGACACACATTGCGGAAATCAGCAAACTGCATCCCGAGGCAAGTGCTAACTTGGAATCCTCAAGGGAAAAGGAGAAAACCCAAGAACACACTGCGTCAAAAATTAGAAGCAGAGATCAAAAGGATGAATAGCAGCTGGAAAGGACTGCGCAGGACAGTGTTCGATGGAGAATGCTGGTGGGCGGCCTATACTCCTCCACGAGGGGTAACAGGCATAAGTAAGTAATTCAGCTGATCAATAAATAATTTGCTGTGGCAAACCAATCTACTATTTGCAGAAATAAAAACGAAACAATTATCACAAGCTCGATTGTAGCCCCCAACGGGATTTCATAGCTGAAGGACACGTGACTCGATCATATCATAATTAAGATCTCCAATCCCTAGAATGTCTGGCAAAATTAAAATGCAAATCCTAAAAACAATATTTCCTTTACGTGACATTAACTTCAGTTTTTACTCAAATTACACTCACAAATGATATAAAACATTACGAAAAGTATCTGATAGTTTTTTTGAAAATATATATTCCCATGATGTGATAAAAATTCAATATTAAAAATCATACCTAACATCTTCTGATTTGATTGTACTGTTATGCTGTTCGCCAAACTGCCTCTTTCCTACTTCAGCTTTAGTAAGTGCACAGGCTAAACTAAGTACAGGTCCAGTAGATGGTGATAAATCTGATGGTGTATTACGAATCAATGACCAAACATGGTTTACAAATAAATCATATTCATACTGATTAAGTGATGCGACCCATATTGTATCAATAATTGGCAATAATGCTGAAGCGGCGGCAGCACGTATATCTTCATCGTCGGCAAGAGTATTAGCACTAAATGAAGAAGGATGACCACTTTGTCGAGGAATGGTTTGATTATCAGCTTTAATTGGTATCCCAAACAATCGGCTAATTAAGCACGGTGTAACATGTGGTAATAATGTATTTTTTAAATCCTGTGTATAAAAAATTTCAAATTGTAAAAAAGTCCACTTCGAAATACATAAAACACATGGATAAGAATTTCTTAGGGAAGTTAACAGTGTAACCACTTTTAAATGAACTTTTCTAGGGAACATAGCCGCATTAATATTTATTGAAACAACATTTGATAGAAGCAGACCGAATGCATAGTTACGAAAGAAAGATTACTTATAAATCTTCAGTTTAAAAGATATTATCGAAAATATATCTAAAAACAATCGGGAGAGCTCAACCCGAAAGGGAATGACAGTAGCCGATTAGGCGTGAGATGATCGATTAATTCAATACGTAAATCGTCCACTTCAATATCAGAATAAATTTTCCCGAACTCAATTGTTAATTGCATTAGTATAATATCCTATTGTATCGTGATAAATTTTGTGTATTTCACTAAGTTTTGATATGTTCCATATGAAAATAGTTTCAAGTTACGATTATTTATACATTATTACTAATTAGTGAAAAGGAAATCTGTATATAAAAGTGCTATTACTCTGTGAGATGTGTATTTTTTCCATGTCGATTCTATCTTCGTAACAGTTGGGGTCAGGATGGAAATGTTAGGGGCAGTGTTAAAGCAAAATTGCTGATGTTAACATTTCCCAACCAGGTTATAGTAGTAAAAGCAGTCTTTTCTAACCCAAGGTATAGTTAAATTTATGCAGCGAACCATGACAGAGCTTACCACATCCGCCCTCTTGTACGCTTCCAAGCGAAGCGATAGCTGGCATGAATGACTGACACAATATGTAAATACCAGTCAATTACTCCAGTGACGTAAGGCCAGTAGATATCTATTATATACATAGTAGTTCTAGGACGTTCAGTCTGACTTGTTTGACACAAATTACAAGAGCAGTCAAACACTGAGAGAGTTTCATGGTTTAACTAACTATTATACACTGCAGATACTTGAGCCAATATCAAGTGAAAATTTCGGCTAAATGAACAGTTTGTTAGGTCCTTTCATTTTATTTATTACTGTATGCTGAAAGCTATGAGTAGCCAGTGAGAGAAGCTACATATCGGGTTGCATTCAAGGTAAGAGACTTTTATACACAAAACTGATTTAAATTTGTTCTACTATGATCCTATTTATTAACTGGATTGTATAATATGACAATACGCCATTATTATGCCCCATATATGGTTCTTGATTGTTGATTGGATATTTAAATTGAGTGAACATGTATCGAGATTTACAAAAGTGGTTGATTTAATGACTAGTGTAATGAACTATGATTTAGACCGGCTGATCTAATAATCCCTTATGGGATGACCCAGTGTTCGGAAGGTTCACAATCGCACACCGGTTTATTTTTCTGTTATATTATTTGTCGTACTTCGCGCTCCTTTACAAAATTGTTTCTATTTCTCCTATTTATCATAAAAAAATTTTGCCGCTTAAAATTCTCGCTTTTTATTCCATACTACTTGCCTTTCATCTAAATCTTTAGACTGATATTACTGATGATTACTGTTATACCAAAGATCAAATATGTTCTACATATAACTGTTTACATAGAAATATGTAGTCAATTTTCAGATCATAAATACTATATAAACTTATATGATGCAAATATACTGTTTATTAAAGAAAAATTAATCTGCCTCACATGTTGCAACGCAATCAAAAACATGATATTAACATACGTTACGGTGATTTTCGAGATTATAAAAACTTATCTTAATAGACAAGTGTTTTAGAGTACGTTGTTCATTCACACACCCCTTTATTTATATTTTTAGGTTTAAATTTCTAACCTAATGGTTGATTAGGTTAGTGCTAAATGCTCTCACAGAACTCGGCAACAAGATAGGAGTTTATGTACCATACTATTAGGCTAGTGTTACTCCCAATGTAACCATAAACCACTATTTGATCCAGCAGTTAAATCTGTTTATAATTATCTGATTAATTCAAATCAACGCGATTAAATGAAAACAAGTATAAACGTACAAACCTTTCTTGAAGCAAGCAAATATTTGATGCCTAATAATCCACCATGTGCTATCATCCAACTGTTTTTGGAAGCATTTGAATTGTCCTTTTGACAAGGTATATTAGCGCACAGTTTTGTTACTGCTTCGTCGTTTAAAGATACAAGAAATATTAAGTGTTTTGCTACTAAAAGTACTTGTTCAGTTGTTAAATGCAAAGATAGTACACCTAATAACTGTGCAGCGGTTTCACGTACTGGAGCTACAACCTATAAAAGTTTAAAAAAACGGGTATAAGTTGATTAACACGGAACTTTAGGAAGGTTTATTACATTCCTTCTAATTTTCAATATATGATAATCAATGCTTCATATCTTTATTGCCAGGAGGAATGCTCTCAAAACCAGAGGATTTTCTATCAGCCATTCAGTTGCGACTTGTGTAAAACAAACCGATTGTTTCCTTGACTGCAGAAACGAGTATTCCACTTTTTAATTTTGTTAGAAGACTGAATCTCCTCTAAATATATATACCAGTTGCTATCGAATAAACTATCTACTTAGGTCATTATTTAAAAGTTTTTAGTATAATCACAATGTTCTGAAAATTAAGATATGATTTTCGATGAACGTTTCGACACGTGATTGTCGTTTTTAAACTGATTCCTGCAAAGCAATTCATAATAAGGAATTAGTATATGTATGCAAAAAATGCTATCCTGATTGGTGCGAGACCCTTGTAGTGTGATTTATTGAATTACTTTGTATGGCTAGAATAATTATACATAATTGCCTGGCATTAGATTGGTTCAAGAAAGAAATAATGAAGAAGAGGACACACTTTTGACTGATACCCTATGCCTATAATCAACATCACTACTTCAGACGTACAAAGCAGTGCTTCGAAGACATCTACGACTAAAAACCAACGGCCCATATACGTCTTTAAGTTTAGTCGACCGTGGTCCACAGTCACAAAGTATACACGCCCTTTGGCTGGGAAATGAGCATCTAGCCTACGACACAAGTGATGCAGGTTAATAAAGCCTAACTGAGTTTTCTGAATCCGTATCTTGATTTCGTCTGAAACCAACCAAGCAGGGTTGTGAATTCTAAGATAAGTGAAGTTGTCAACACAATAAACTACTTCACTCCTTACCATTAGTTCAGGTGTTGATTCAGATCAGTCTTAAAACAACATTTTCCATTTTGAGGGGGAAGAACGCATCTCAAGCATGCTCACATTATTGACTGAGGGGATCAAAAGACTGTAGTTTGTCAGCAACTTCACTAAATAGGTCAGTCAGTCAGCTACAACGTAGGACCAGGCATATATATGCATCGGTCCAAGTTGCCATACCTCATTAACACAACAAGATGAACACCGGATACATAAAAGTAGTTAATTCAGAGGTGGTAATATATAAGAGAAAGATTGCATATAGAAATATAGTACAAGAAGAAAAAATTGGTTCGTAGAAAGAAAGGTATGAAGCGATTTTAATCTCTTAATCTAAGGGAAGACAGAGTGTATACAGCGACGCCATTGTGATCGATTCTGAGCCATGTCACCAAGAGTCTCCAACCATTGGTTACGATTGTCACGCGGACCCCAACCAAGTAGTCTGCATCTACCAACATGGCTCAGATTAGAAGTTAGTGAATTCAATGACTGATGCCACGTTTTGGTTTGACCACCCTTAACTTTGTTATAACCATCCCCAACACCGGTTAGCATTGCACGTCGTGGTAATCGGTGTTCAAGCATACGTAACACGTGGCCCAACCATCTCAGTTGATGAAGATTCACAACCTCATCAACTGATTTACCACAATTCCCTAATACCCTGCGTCTAACGTCACTATTACTTATTCGGTGATCCCAGCAGATGCCACCAATATTTCTAGGGCATCTGTGGTCAAGTACTAGTAGCTTACGAGTATTTTCTACTCTTAATGGCCATGTTTCGCAGCTGTAAATAAAAACAGAACGAACTGCCGCGCAGTATACTCGTCCTTTTATTGATAGGATTATGTTATGTGCGTATTCTAAATCGGTAAGCGAACCTCCTAATACAAGATGAAACCCTAAAACGTTAGATAAAGAAAACGCTATCTATAGAACATAGACAAAATTGAATGGGAAGAGGAAAAACTAGGGAATCCTGAAGAACGCCTCTTGGTGTTGACAGTTACCCACAAGCTTTGACTCAACCAATAGCTCCTGAGTAGAGAGACTCTACAAAGTTTATGTACTTCTTTGATAAGACATTCAATGATAAACATCTCCAATAAAACCTCTCGGTCAATGGAAACAACCCTTTATTCATCAATATTCAATTTGTTTGAATGACAATTTTTCCATATGCTGTTTGTAAACTGTGGCCACTTGAGCAGAAGTTCCTTCGTTTATGATACTACATCGGTTAAGTTGCTAATCAGTGAGTCTTATGATAGAAAATTAAAATAAAAGAACAAAACTCAGTGACTGAGTACTGACACTACACAGCTACCCAAACCTAAATATATTCTAAAGAAACATAGAGTTAATAACCAAGTTATCAAGAACAAATCTGCTTCGTGGTAACAATGGAAGTTGTACAGAAAAGCCTATCTGCTAACTCTATTCTCAGTCCTACTTAAATCATTAAATAAAAATGAACTAGAAATCTGGTTGGTGGCTAAGTTTGAAAGCTGAGTCGGGAAAACACTTACTAATTCGTTCAATGGTTTCCGGTATAAACTGGTATTCAATCAGCATTACAATATACCGTATGCTGTTGGGTGATTACAAAGGTTCCAGGAATATTTTATATGATACCGAAAAACATCTTATACACAGATGAATAGCATGAGCTATTGAGAATAACTAATCGGTAATGACAACAGGTAAAATTAAATCAAAAGTACGTACAAAGCAGTACACCAATTTCATATTATCAATAGCAATGAAGGACAAGAACAATAAGGGGAGAATGTGTAATCATGACAAACAGATGAACTACTAGAACAGAATAAACAACATAACTTACTTCATCGGAAATAAAATCAGACAACTGATCCAGGGCTAGTGTACAAAGTACACGAACTACAATATCTTCCAAATATTGGTAATGGCTATTATACATCTGGAAAATAAATTAACAAGAAAACCATTCCACCAAATATTGTTTTATTCAGAAAAAAATATCTGTAAACTGCTAGATTATACTTGACTGTATTACCTTCACTATAAATTACAGATCTAACTTATATATTAGCTTATGTTTAAGATAAACAAACTGATTTGTACGTAGATCTTAATAATCAAATCCCAAGATTGCTTCATAGCAATCAGTAGATAGCAATAACGTCTGGGATGATTAGAACATAAAAATCTAGCTCGGTCATATTCACTGTACGACCAAAAACACATACCACCCAACAACCCAGGATACAGGTTTTATAACCTAGAATGGCTCAGCAAAAATAAAAGCAGGATTTGGTGTTTACAATATTACTACTGGAAGAAATTATGTTTACAAACCTCCGTTTTGGATTGACCAATATATTTTCCTGCTTGTTTAGTATGTCTTGGCTCTGACAGTAATTCTCGTAGACCAGAAGCTGCTCCATGGCGTGTCTCCCAACGCAATGCCCACAAATCACCTAAAAGTGTAGTACACATTCTATCTAATGGCCAATGTCCCGAGGGTTGATTTAATACAGAAACAGTAGCTTGAACATTGAATCCAGATTTATCAATGATGACGTCACTTGATGAATCTAGTTTGATACGTTTTGTATCACAATGAACAGGAGACTGACAGAAACTGAATCTGAAGGAGATTGAAATGTCGGAGTATGAAAAAGTATATACCGAATCTAAAGTTACCTTTTGAAAGTAGAAATATTGTTAACAGGAGGGAATTCTTTAAGTGTCAAAAGTCTAAACGTCTCGTATATTGTTCAAATGGACCGAACCTTTGGAAAAAAGACATTCTTACTTAAAGAGGGAAAATCCACAAACTTTTACCAGTTTTTAAACAACAGAAATATCTTTTAGTTAAGGTAGTGATGATGATCGTCGAGCTACTTGTTGATAACAGCAACAAATTTGAGGTTCGAGAGCTAATTCCGACCATCGACTGAAATGGATTGTGGTGGCAGTAAGGTACCGTCATCTCTAGCGATAACAGTTCCTACAACGGTAAGAGGTCAGAAGACAATTGAACGTAAATGAATTCAAACCGTACCATATGGAGCATATTCATAATCCAATAATCTATTCTAAATTTCGTGAAATCCTTACATTTCACTTAGAAACAGATGCCGTATGTTGTATGTTCCAATGACAGAGAAATACGTTAATTTCTCACTTTGAGAGATATCATGGATTCAAATGTAATCAGCTATTAGTTTATAAGATAGTAACAAAAAATGCTGCACTTCGACAACCACAATCTAAATACTCCTGGAAAAATACTATAGACGACAAATTATAATTACATCGGAAAGTAAAAATTAAAATTCATCTTCACTTCGGGTCATGAAGCTCCAAAAGCCTGCGGAATAATATCCATATGTCATTACCACAAACACTGAAATTCCATCGAATCGTTCATTTGCAAGTACAGTTAAAAGCAGATGTACTTATAGCCCGATCCAATTCAAAGGACTACAACTTATCTCACATCAGAGTTAGTACTTTTTTACGCCTATTAAACTTTGTCACCAATGACATTCTGAAAATAGGTGTAATGGGATAAGATGGTGAAGTGGATCTGTTACACTGAGAAAGAATTTTCGACTTTGCGGATGTGGATAATATTACCTTACTGTGTGACGACACTCAAGCTACGCAATACGTACTTATTCAGTTGAAAATCAGTGTCCATGAGTATGATATGTATTTTTCACCTTCTAAATGCTAAGTACTTGTATAAGACAGACAGGAGCATTCTCATTCTTAGTGGTGAGCCGTTAGAAGTAGCCGAAACGTTTATGTATCTGAGTGGTTGTGTGAGCCATGAGATTACTCCATGTATAGTGAAAGCCATAACGGCGTATGCCAACCTGGGACATTTATAGTGCCATCGCTATGTTAGTCTGGCTGTAAAAGGTTGAGTTTACAACGTGTCAGTAAAAGTGGTTCTCTGTGTTATCGTTATCTCCAAGCGATTGATGACATTCAATCGCAAAACCATGTTAGTAATTCTGAGGTTCAGCAATGTGTGTTCCGTAACAATGACGACAATTCATTTGATGTCAACACCTTGCAACACCGGCTTCGATGGCTTCAAAATGTTATGGAAATCACCCCAGCGTCTTCTATATTGTGTTTTATTTGCTGACCCAGGGACCGGTCAGGTAAAGTGGAAGTAGGCAGTTTGTGATATGACGCCGGACCATGAAAGAAATATGTATAGAAGTGGTTACTGATGGCCCGTCACGACACCCCAGTTGGCATCCGAGAGATAATATAAGTCAGTGTCGTGAAATATCGGATACAGTCCAGAATAGAAGCGAACGGAGATTCTGCTGCAATTTTCTTACTTCATATAAATCAAAGAAACTTCTTTAACTGGAAGGATTCGTTCCGATCGCATATTTTTAAACCGGAATTGTTATTACAATTACATTTTATTCTGGTTCACTTATTTTTATTTATCAATTCACTTTTTTGACTATAGACGCCGCTCTTTATCTGTATCTTCACAATTTCACTCACTTCTTTGTGTGGTTCATATTTATTTCGGTCCCTATTTGCACCAATATTTATGTTTGAATAAATAAATAAATCATACACTAACGAATTCCGAGCTAAATCATCCAACGTTTTCATTCATTCTGTGGTTTAGTCAAAATAATTTAGCTCAGAGACAATAATGGTTCATGTTTTCCCAATAGAATTTACAACTCAGACAGTATATTATACCCAACTGATTGATTTATCAATCACTTTATTTAGTGACTCATATTTAACACTATCTACACAATGGATAAAATAACCGACTAACTGAAATTACATTTACATTTGATTTAATGCAGGTGTATAAGACTGAAGTATCAGAATAGCCGAATGAAGAATCAGACTATTTCAATGTTTATTCAAAACGTTCAACATGATTGCAAGTGGAAATCAAATTAAGCCAGGTTTTATTCCCGTTGACTAGTTAAAAATAACTTACTAGAAGTATTAATCTACAATAAGGTAACGTTTTAGAAATACTGTGTTATATTTCCTTGGTATGCAAGCTAGTGTGTTATTTTATTTTAAAGAATGTTCTACTCAGCTTTCTGTTATGCATTCACTTTAAAGAGTCGATATAAGTAGAGGATCGTCATTTGATGATTTGAATTAGCGATTACTGATTCAGCTATTAAACACGGACAAAAAGATTTGAAAAAAAACGTAGTTTTTAGTACTGTTAACGGTATGACTTCCAATTGTTCGCACCACGGAAGGCTATTTCTCTTTGAGGTGCTTGAAAAGGAAATTGGATTAGTGATTTCAGTTTCCTAACTAGTGAGTAATCAGAACCATAATCTTTATTTATATTTATCTGTTCTAAAAAATATTGAAAAATCATACTCATTTACGAGTTTTAACTGTATATTTATGGTTTGCCATGATTGTAAATCAAGAATACCCCAATGACAAATAATGAGATGCTTCACACGACACTGGTCGAAAACTATAATAAATAAGAAGTTCTAGTTCAAGTAAATGAATTCCGACCTAATATTATGAATTTTTTGGGTATTTCCAGTTAAACAGAAAAAAAGTAATCTCCAACAACAAACAATAAAGAAGCATGGATACCTTTTCCCATCTGTGTCGACATGAGCAACGTAAGCACTCCGTACACAACTCTGTGGATAATAAAGTGAATAAAAATGCATTTACAGGAAGGAATCTAAATAAATCAACAGCATTAGTGATAATGTTTGTACGTTAAAAGACAAAAAAGAAACCCAAGAATAAATAACCATTTAATATGTTAGCCCTCGGATTTACATAGTTGGTGAATAGTTTTTCGAGGAATACCTGGTGAAAAATCTAAAGTAATTAACAATTGTCAAAATGGAGCTGAAACTTGAAGAACCACTACCACCATTATCAAAATGGTACATGTGTTCATAAGTAGCTGCCTACCCAAGATAATCCAGATCTATTGAACAGACACCACCAGCAGTAACCTACTGTGATAGGGAGCAAACCAGCTTCCAAATGCAGAGGGAATTCGGAAAATATGCTAGAGGTGGACAAGTCACACTTAGTGGAAATCATAAAACTGCATCAAAAGGCAAACGCCCTAACTTTAGATCCTCAAATCAAAAGGGAAAACAGAAGACAAATAATACATGGGGCCGGAGATCAAGGATACATTAAGACCGAGAATGCAACTCGTCAACAATTAGAGTTCAGGACAGTTACTTGATGATTCTCGCATCAAAGCATTTGCGACACCAGTGTGCAAGTGGGAACAATAGAAATGACAAATTGACTTACTATTTTTTCTTTAAAAACAATTTTCCGCAAAATCATTGGTATTTTAACTTGTTATAAAGGATAATGACTGATGTTGATGCACAACTTACGCGAGATGGCGGGGGATGTAAGTTCATATTTGCATAGTGTATTACCGAAGTTTACCATAACACAGATAAAATCGAATGTAAGAATACACTATATTATTCTGCCTAATAAGCTAAGCCACGAGGATGGATGATATCACCAGTTTAGCTATAGCGAATTTTTAGCAAATGATCCCGTAGCTGAAAGTTTAATTTCTAGAATAAAGTGGATGTCGTGAAATAAAATACTTGGATAGATGACAGAAAGCTAAATTCGTATTGTTTATTAACCAACTGGCTTTAGGTTCTAAAGCTCTTTTAAAAGTGGATAAGAGCTGAACACCCATATATATATGCACTTCATTTAATGACTGTATTCCATCTATTCTATATTAGTAAAACATAATTCTAATATTTGTAGTTCCAAGTTTAACTTGACAGCGTATCTGGAAGCCACGAAATTACCTCCTGCTATTAGTAATTGGCTTGACAGTAGACAGATATATCTACTAACTGAAAGATTATAGCTGAAAAATCAACCTACTGATGAGTGAATACCTAGCAAATTCTACCTATATTACAATAAAGTAAATGCACACACAACGCCACATGCTTAAGTTGTAACATACCTCCACATCTATTTGAGTGAATCCAGGTTGTGTTTCATCATTAAAATCGTCTGTTGTTATCCATTTATTAATTGATACATCAGCATGATTCTCCAGAACTTCAGTTAATAAACTGTCGTTTTCCAGGCCTAGACGACTGTTGATTTCTTGGCGTTGTACTTGATGACATAAAAATGAGAGTAAGTGTGGACAATATGTTACTATTATGTAACACTGACAGATTTAGCTGTTAAAAATACATTTAAAAATCCAGGTTATCTTTAGTGTCATAGTGATATTCGTCTAGCTGTAAAAGGTCTAGTCTACAACTCACGAGTGAGAGCAGATTTGCTGTACTTGTGAAACCCGGCCCCTTCCTCATACAAGCGAAAGAAACCCTATTAACTGAAAGAATTAACTGTATTTCTCCTTTAAATGAACTATATTTCTTATTGTGTACTACTCTTGTTCATTTAGATTTGCAATTACTCTCCTCTTTCCTCCTCTATTTCTTTATTTGTGTAGTACATGCATTTTCCGTGCTTATATGTACAAGAATCTATGTGTATTAAATAATAAAAAGTATTCCGAAGATAGGAATTACGTCGATGATCTTACCGAGGATCTGTATGTATGTTTCTAACCGGTTGTGGTAGTGAAGAGACATTTGGATACCTTTCAAGCGTTGTGAATACTTAGGAGTAATAAGTTGCGTAAGATTTTGAAATGTATAGTATGCCAATTAGAAGATCTAAAGGCCTGATCACAAATTTCCCCAATAACTACGAGGCATACTGTTGAAGAACTAAATGAGGGATGTTGTGGTTTATACTGAAATTATAGTCAGTCAGTCAGCTACAACGTAGGACCAGGCACATATGTGCATCGGTCCAGGTTGCCATACCTCATTAGCACAGCAAGATGAACACCGGATTCATAGCAGTGGATATCCAATGAGTTGATGAGACTATGAACTTGTGTAGACAAAATTGTATGAAGCCATGAACTCCGAGTTACAAACCACCAACGTTTCACATGACACGAGGCCTAAGAACAGTCTGGAAACATCATTGGTTATACAAAAAGATTACAACTCTAAACGTTACTAGCTGTTAGAACTAAGTGAGGAACTGTAGGTCATTTTAACTGGCTTTGAGTCTGAGACAGCATGTAGAATGGTCCGAAAATGCCCTGATATGGCCAAGGGCGGAGAAAGAGTCCGCCCTCCCTCTCAAAATACTTTCACATGACCATGCGTATTTAGCCACAGCCATGAAAGTCCTACTCAGCCTCCTCGTAGTGGGGGTTTCATGTACGAAAAAGAAAAGAGGGAAAATGAATGTCCGGCGCTTAAACTGTGTCGATGAAGATTTGGGAAACATCGATTTCAAACCAACAGCGCACTTGAGGCCCGAAATCCTGAGGGAACAAATGGAGTACAGGCCTATCCTTAGTCACTGGCTAACATGGGACCACACTTCCTGACGTCGTTTCATTTCCTTGTGGATTAAACCTCTAGGTCAAAGGCCCAGAAAACTATCTGCTTTGGTTTAGGCACACAAATAGCATCCTGGCGCACGCACAATAACAGTGATCTGTATGACACACATTGTAGCTGACTGACTGACTGACTGTATTCGTTGTCAGTTTTGGCGTATGACCTCGAGAAACGAACCGAGAAGCTAAAGTGTGAAATCTGACATTGGTTTTACTATTTATGTGAGCTAATAGTGATTTGTGTTTCAATAGGTTACGATCCTTATGATAGCAAATTTTTTTACATCCATCAATCCACTGGGCAACTAAAATCGAAGAATTCTATTAATGAGTTGTACTTCCACCGTTATGAATACCTAATAAGACTGTACTTAATATATCGAGGGTATTAATATGGTTGTGTAGTAATTAGGCTCCTTTCAAATTAAAATTAATCTTTATAGTATAATTATCCAGGATGATGGCTTTGAATTAGTGTCGTTTCCTGACAGCTCTGATGCAGATATTTAACGCTTACATAAACTTAGGAAAGAAAGCTATTAGTGTACTGATGCCAACTGATTAAGATTGTTAACTGATCCATAAATCAAACTAAAATTTTATATCCCTAAGAAGTGTCTAAGTTAATGGCTGTGACCTAATATGGACTCCATTTATAGATGAATGTATTTTCAATTATCTGTTTACACAGAGTATCGTAAAATAAAGCTTAAGATAATTATAGTAATAAATTGATATTAAATATACCCAATAACCATACAGCGAAGCTAAGATTTCTAATTACCTGTCGGTAAGATTTGAGACTGAATATCTGTTTGTGGATCAAATGTATCACATTCCATTGCATTTTCATTATTCTTTTTACACCGTTCAAAATAATCCCGACTGTTATTTCTGTCCAATTCTCGTGCATCCATACTGTAAAGTCGAGCACCCTGAGCTAGAACATAGTCAATCCGGAGTCCACTTAGGCTGAGGAAGCCATTAGTTGAAACGTCCTTTTGATCTATGTAGCTTTGACAATTCAAAGTTGGTTCCCAATCAGGCAAGTGACGAACAATGTGACGAATAGCTTCTGATGCAGCAATACGAGAAACCCAGTTTTTATGTCGAAGCAGAGGGATAAGCTTCAGGTTCAATGAGAGATATGAATAGGATAGTTAGTGACTAAACTTATATTAGAAGTGAAAATATAAAATGCCAAAGAAAATCCTTGCTAAACCTAAAGATCACTTGACGTTTCTCTAGACATACGAGAATGTTTATCAAGAAACCCCAGATGACAGAAACACAAATAATAATGAAATTCAAAGAATTGCGATCATTATTCACAGTAGGGAAGACATTAAATGAAGGTGACAGGATCAAACTTACTCTAAAGTCAATAAAGTCCATAACTGTGAACATTGTAGATTCTTCCATTGAATGTCATTTTAAAGTGCTTTTACTATGATATGACAGTAACATTTTGAGACAGCATTCAATGTGATATTCGGAAGATCAAAAGGGCGACTCGATTAAGATGAATGTGTTGAATGCTTACAGTTTGAAAAAACACTAAATTTAATGGTCAAAAGCATTCTGATGTATACGTTAATTAATCAAATAAAGCTGAGCGAAACTTGATTCCTACTAGATACCAGGTTATGATAGTTGACAAGACTTAGTGTTGAAATATCAAAAATCTTTAAAGAGAGCAAACTAACTCATCAGATGCTTCGGGATTGGTTACAATTTCACGGCTAGTGATACTACCCTGTTGTAGGTGGAGGGGGTTCGAACGTAGAGCTCAGTGAAAGAGTCGAACCTTTTGGCCACCAAGCTACTGAGTCAACGACAAATCATACCTTCCACCAAATAATTCACAATGACAATAGAAACAAGTTCCAGAACGTAATGAATAGGAGTTGATGAATTTGTAAAAGTACTCTAGACTTTTATAATCATGAACAAAAAAAGACAAATATTACAAAATTATTCTGTCACACCTGGAAAACCAATGGTTAAATAAATGCCTCATATATATATATATATATATATCATGATTAGGCAATTAGAAAGTGTTTTAAAGAAAAATCCATTCCTTACACAGGTGAAGACATAATCAATGCTTGATGGACTACTTTTTGCGATCTCTCCAAGTTGCTCTGCAGCTGCAGTTCGTAAAGACGCATTGGGACAACTTTCCAGTAACACAAAAAGACGGTCAAGGCTAAAAAACAGAGTACATATTTATTAAATTGGAATATGAAAAGGGTACTGCGTACACTGGGACATGTTGTGATTATATTTTGTTAAGAAGGATATAACAGACTTCTGATGTGAAAAATAGAATAGGATTCGCAATCCTTGGTTGTCCAGATAACAGCTATTCGTCTATATGAAGTCGCTGTGTGAATTTAATGATGTGATCATGATTATACTTCAGATGCTGTAAAAAAACGGCAGTTTAACGACCGGTCAGACTTATATTTGCCTAATAAAAATAAATGTGCCCACAATAATGTGACCAGTAGTGAACTCCAATTTTTGTGGTACTTTGGGCCAAAACTGTAAAGGTAGGTTATAGGATGCATTTGATACAGTATCCTAAGCACCGTGATTTTCTGACAATACACTAAAACTGACGTCCTTAATATCAGCCAAAACTTATCAGGATGATGCTTGGTGATGTTAATCCCATTAAGGCCATTGGTTTACTTATTAATAACTGCTTGAAGCTTTGGAGAAAACAATCGCAAGTTTCCCATTGGAGACAAAATGTAAGGTTTTGCAGTCCCATATAATGACGCAAACCTGGGAAAACGTTTTGATCAAACTGATGATATACATGAATTATAAAAACATGTCTGCAGCATTAAGACCTGGAAAATCAAAACTCACGAACAATAGAAATCCTCTCAACATCGTACAGTAGGGCATGTGTTTTTAAGACGTAAAAAGCACCGCCAGGAAAATTCAGCTATACTGAGCCGAAATTCCGTACTTTCGGCAAGGTTTCTACAATCCTTCATTTGGTCGAGGTTTTGACGTATTTCCTCAGAAAACATGGGTAGTCGATCAAAATGATCGCTATAAAAGTTCATCATGATTTATAAGGACCATGCAAAAGTATTATCTGCAAGTTTTGCAAAAATTCACCAACAAACGTTTTCCAGTGGACATATTACATCATATTATGTATAAACAATAATATAATTCAAAAACAACAAATAGGAAATAATTACAAGTCAAAAGTAGTACCGGCTGGTCATTAGACTCCCGATAATCCCTAGTGGTACTTGTCCAAAGACTAAAGGAACGAGCGCACAACAGAACAAAGAGACATACGCCGTCCGCCATCGCACTGAATATATTTATACTGAGCACCATTTAGATATGTTGCGCATTTTATTGGAATATTAAGTATGCTATTGGTCCACTGTTTCCAACGTCCTTCAATGAAATATTTTAGTGCATTTAAAAATCAAGAAGGAATTTGAAGCACCACTAAAGTTCACCAATTTAAATCCGATTTTGGTTTCAAGTTGAACTCCAAAAACATTTCCGTGACACAAATTTTGTCGTCTTAGACCCGATAATCAAGTAATTCAACCTATCAAATGTATACATAGTCTCACATAATTGGTACAATTTCCATAAGTAATCGTAAAACTGTCGGAAAACTGATCTTACTGCGTTTTTCGAAGCGTCAGTGAACAAAATGGGGTGAATTGTAAGGTTTAAGTTTAGATACGTTAACAAAGTAGCATTCTCTATCGCTGCACTGTTATTCGGTACTGTTCGGCAGTAGGACTTTGAAATGGTTGTTATCGTGCATCGCCTCTCCTCCCACTCCCTCTGTTTTGTATACTTTGCCACATCAGAGAGGTGCAATGAATTGCATTTTCGCCTTGTCATTTGTAATTTCAGAGGAGACATGTTTCAGTTAGAATTACTGTTCGGAGGTCAGAAGGGAAGCACATGTTTCCCGCACCTCTTATTAACTCCTCGGCCCCCTTAAGTTGCTATAAAGGCATTTGTTGGTGTTTGTACTCAGATGTCGCTCCTCTGCAACAACATGTTTTCTGGTTTTAAACCAACTGATAGTTAAAGTAGGTTAATCGATTTTGTAGGGACTGAACTCTGAGAGTTTTCCGTTAATGTTGTGTATTCCATTAGCTGGCCCACGACCTCGATGCCCTGTACCGTGGATCGTTGGTCAAAGTCAGCTGACACCAAGGTGTGTTTTATTTTGTTTTATCCTATTGCCTTGTCAATCTAGGTCGGCTCTCATAATCTCTGATGTGGTCGCAGAGCTCATTCTTCGAGCTGTACTATGGCCTGAGGAGCTTCAGTCATATTCTTATGACATTTTTTTACGGCCAACGGTTTGTCGTGTCCAACTCGGATTTGAGAGAAGGCTTTAACCGGTAGTCTTTGAGTAGCTGAATAGAGTTACTATTAATACAAGAGGTTTACATTGCAGGTGGCATAGTCTTTGTGGTATGGTATCCTTTCCCAGAAGAGAAGCATACTTGTCAGTTTTTTCTCCAACATTGAACATTAACTAAGATCAAGTAGTTTTGTGTATTATCTTTGTTCGCAATCTGTAATATTTTGCAAATTATGCTGTTGCTATATCCTTTCCTTTATTTTGTAAATTGCTTCAGCAGATTGCTCTCGCTGGCGAGATTAGAGATGTCACTCCAAAATTAAATGCGACAACAAATTCGGAGATGGTTGAAAACACAAAAACGACAGCGGAATGTGACAAAGAGAAGCCATGAATTAAGAGGATTGAAAAGGCGAGAAAGTTATCAATCAGTCGACGAATATCGCCCAACCAGCTTCAGAACTTACTTCCTCGAATAGTAGCATTATTGTGAAGTTTTCTTAGGGCGTATACTTTCGGGGGAAAGTATCATCCCACTTTTCCCCAACGCCTCCATGTTCTTACTTTTCTGAGTATTTCAAAGGTTGCAATACAATTTTCGTGATTATATGACACGATAGGACGGTCTTCTTTTTTGTTCATCATCGAACGACCTCTTCATCTTTGAGAACTTGGTTGTTTATAACTTTTTTCTTTGTTCACAGTTCCTCAAACAGTGAACGGCTCCTTAAATAAAGTTTGGATTATAAATACATGTTATGTTTTTACACCGTTTATTTGGATGATAGAGCACTCACACTTTGCGCCCGTACAATTCGCAATTTGCTACCGCACAAAACTAGGTTCCACTATCCTGAAGACCAATATAAATGACGCGAACAGAATGTACAGTTCTTACTGAAGTACAAGTGGTATGAAAGACTCTAATACTAAAAATGTAAGTTGAAATATCCTTCTTTCCTAGAAATTGGTAGGCAGTACCGCCAGTTATTTTGCCAGTTCTCACTTTGAACTTCGCTTGGAGCCCCTATGGACCTATTGACGGTCCCAAGCCCAGATAAAGGCGAAAGTTGGACATGGTGTGAGAAGCCCCATCCCGTAGAAAACTAACTCGCAATGAAAAACGCTAATCAGAAAAAAATGTTCAAACCATTTAAACTTTTCCCTGGGGCCTAGAAGGTCTTCATTTAGAAGAGTTATCAAGCCTCATGGTGAAAGACGAGTTCCTTCAGAAGTCAAGAGGCTGATGACCCTTCTGATAGCCAGAGCAAACATTTATTTAAGTACATGGAATGCTCGTACAATGTGGGAGACCGGGAGAGTCTTCGAGACTGCTGTTGAAATAATGAGGTACAACATGAAGGTGCTTGGAATCAGTGAAACACATTGGACACAAGTTGGACAACAACGACTAACTACAGGAGAGCTCCTGTTATACTCCGGCCATGAAGAAGAAAATGCACCACATACACAAGGAGTTGCATTGATGCTGTCCAAACAAGCACAAAATGCGCTTATAGGATGGGAATCTTATGGACCAAGGATCATCAAAGCCTCGTTCAAAACAAAGAAAGAGGGTATTTCAATGAACATCATCCAATGCTATGCGCCTACCAACGCCTACAATGAAGACGCTAAAGATCAATTCTACGATAGGCTGTCGTCGATCGTTGAGAAGTGCCCAACAAAGGACTTGACCATTCTCATGAGAGATTTAAATGCCAAGGTTGGTTTGGATAACACCGTATATGAGGACATCATTGGACGACACGGACTGGGAGAAAGGAACGAAAATGGTAGGTGGTTCGCAAACCTATGTGCCTTCAATTCCCACATAAAGTCATACACAAAGCCACATGAACTTCACTGGATCACACTATGCAGGACCAAATCGACCATATCTGTATCAACAAAACGTTTGGGAAGATGTGAGAACCAAGAGAGGAGCTGATATAGCATCAGATCATCAATTGCTGGTCGCCAAGATGAAATTGAAACTCAGGAAGCACTGGACAACAAGGTGGACAATACCACAAAAGCTTAATACGGCTTTTCTCCGGGATACTGACAAGCTCAACAAATTCAAAATAGCCCACAGCAATAATAATAATAATTTATTCTCAAATAATAGTTTGTTACATGAGGCATGCCAGTTTACAGGCAAGATCAAATTGATACAAATGATACAATAGAGTCCAGGCCTTTCACGATCTACTCAATGGAGAGCAACTGGAAGGGGATCAAAGAGGCAATCACTTCAACATGTTATGAGGTTCTGGGCCACAATAAGCACCATCACAAGGAATGGATCACTGTTGGTACACTGGATAAGATTCAAGAAACGAAGAATAAGAAGGCAGAAACCAATATCAGCCGAACAAGAACAGAGAAAGCCAAGGCACAAACTGAATACACAGAAGAAAACAAGCAGGTGGAAAAGAGCATCAGAACAGACCGACGTAATTATGAGGGAGATCGAGCATGACGGCGGAAAAGGCTGCAAGAGAAGGAAACATGAGACAATTGTATGACACAAAAAAGCTCGCTAGGAATTATCGTAAACCACAACGTGCAGTGAGGAGCAAGGAAAACGGAGTAATCACCAACATTGAAGAACAGCGAAAGAGATGCGTGAAGCACTTATAGGGACTTTTGAATCGACCCAGCCTCACTGAACACACTCAACATCGAAACAGCACCCACGGACCTCCCAATCGATGTTGGTCCACCAACAATTGAAGAGATCAGCATGACCATCAGACAAATCAAGAGAGGCAAATTAGCAGGACGAGACAAGATTCCAGCAGAAACACAAAGCAGACGTAGCAGTAACTGCAAGGATACTCCTCACTCCCTTCAGTAAGATTCGAAATGAAGATCAGGTACCGACAGACTGGAAAGAAGGACCCCTGACCAAGATGTCAACGAAGGGCGATCTCAGCAAGTGTAACAACCACATGGGCATCACTCTTACTTCAGTATCACGAAAAGTCTTCAACAGGGCATTGCCAAACAGAACGAAGGATTCCGTAGACACGTAACTTCGAGATCAGAACGTGTACCAACCGAATTGTAACACAACGGATCATTGTTGGACAATCTATTGAATGGAATTCACCACCTAACACCAGCTTCATTTACTACGAGAAAGTAGTTGATAGCTTGGACAGGACAATATTATGTAGGGTTCTTCGGCACTGCTGCATGACTGAGAAGATGGTCAACATCATACGGAATTCTTATGATGGATTAAACTGCAAAATCGTGCAGGGAGGACAGGTCACAGACTCGTTCGAAGTAAAGACCGGTGTCAAGCAAAGTTGCTTACTCTCAGCCTTTCCCGCTCTCCTGGTGATCGAATGGATCATGAAGACGTCGACTTCTGGGAGAAGCATGAGGTACAGTGGATAGCTTGGATGCAGATGGACGATCTAGACTTCTCAGACGATCTGGCTCTTCTATCGCACATGCAACAACAAATGCAGGATAAGACGGCCAGTGTAGCAGCAACTTCATCAACAGTAGATCTCAACATACACAAAGGGAAAAGCGTGGTTCTCTAATACAATACAACATGCACCAATCCAATCACAATTGACGGAGTAGATTTGGAAAATGTAAAAACTAATACATATCTGGACAGCATCATAGATAATCAAGGGTGGATCTGATGCAGATGTGAAGTTGTGGATCGTCAAAGAAAGAGCAGCTTACCTACAATTGAAGTACTTCTGAAACACAAAAAAACTATTTGTCAACCACCACCGAAGTCATAATTTTCTATACAAATGTCAAGACAGTACCGATGAGATACGGATTGTAATGGATCTATCCCATCTAGATAGGTGACTTTGTGGAGGAGTAAATCTCAGCTTTCTT